TCTCTCTCTCTCTCTCTCTCTCTCTCTCTCTCTCTCTCTCTCTCTCTTTTCTCACACACACACACATCCTCTCCCCCTCCTCTCACCCCCTACTATTCGCCACATACCTTAAGCATCCTTGCCGGTCGTTGATCTAGTCTGTCTTGACTCTCTAAACTTAATGTGTCAATAACGCTGAGATCTCTCTTGGCCAAATAATGTGTTTTGTTCTCTTGATGGTCAATATTTCCCAACGTTCTTTTCTTAAGAAGGGGCATCATCGGCCACTTGAAATATTTTGGACATCGCCGTTAAATTGCTTACATAACACGCTATTTCGAGTTTCGCTCACAAAAACCCACGGTTACCCGATAGATACACATGAGTACTTTGAATACTTTGCCATTACCCATTTCCCGTCGCCGCACACGGAAAGCGCGAGAGTTTGCCGTGAAGATGCCGTCAGCAGTGCTGAACAATGGGTAAAATGTACTCGAGACAGCTACTCGTTTTCTACTCGTACTCGAGTGGACAAGACATAACCGCAATCCGGCTTATATCCGAGTAAACCCGAGACTCAGCTGAGCAATGTCGACCCGGGCAGACTAGGCGTGTATGTGTGTGTCTGTCTAAGCAAATCTGACCGAGATCGGGTCGAGAATGGCATAAGAGCAAGATGTGGTTTGAGCGCGGTGAATAGTGGAAGTTGTGTAACTTGTGGAACTTGTTGTAGTGGCAAGGATTGAGAAGTGAAGGCATTAGGAGGCGAAAACTTGGGATATTATTGGGCATTGGTACGATGTAGGAAAGTAGAAGTAGGTAAACTTTCGCTAACGCCCCCGATCGAAGTGTGCACATTGCTACTCTCAGCAATACTGTATTTTCAAGTTGATCTTCTGGACATAGGGTTGAAATATTTGGTGATATAGCCGCGGGGCGAGCAGGTCGAATTCAGAGGGCAAGGCTTCGTAGAGAACACACCGGTGGTGTCAGCGTCGGGAAATTGGGTCGTTTTGTACTAAAACGTCATCGGTCGCTGGGTCACGTGGAGATGCTTTCACGAGCAGAACTCGCAATTCAAGAGGCGAGAGAACACTGGGGATACGCTTTTTCGACCTGCTGTCGCTGTTTAGTGCCGCTCTTGAGATGGAGACTGTTGGTTTCGGTTTTCACCGTAGACTCAACCGTGATTCGGGACATTACCCCGGACGTGAAATACAAAGAAAGATATATATGTGTGGCCATATATGTCTGTTTCTCGAACCACTCAGTAAAGACTCAACAGACGCAGGCTGTCCTCCAGCGCGAGCGTGAGCGAACGCACCAAGTGTCAGCTGAAATCATCACGTGACTAAAATCACGCCTTTCCTCTCCGTCACGTGTGGCAGCTTCTTTCTTATCACGTGAAGATCAGCTGCCTCTCCCCCCTCCCAGCTCATCGCTTAAAATTTTTCAAAGCTCATCGCCCATCGCCTCGAGATGAGTTCTTCTGAAGGATGAGCACAGCACACTTCCAACTTCGATCTACAACTCTGTAAACCGCGAGATTTTGTTCTGTAGTCCTGTCTAGATCTACCTGGCACACACAACTCTCTCATCCTCCCCACACAACACTATCTCAAAAATGGTAGCAGGTCTAGATTCTAACCCAGAGATTCTTCTGCGCAAGCGCAGAAACGCTGACAGAACACGTTTGGAGAAGCAGGAGCTCGCCCAGCGTCGCAAGGAGCAGCAGCAAAAACAGAAACGCGCGCGTAAAAACAAGTTCGAAAGAGCCGAGTCCATCGTGGCCACTTCCCTGGCCACCCAGCGTGAAAAGGAGCGCATCAAGAGGGTCTCCAAGCTGGAGGCTCAACGACACAAGGGCGAAACGCAGCATTTGGCCTCGGACCGCGACTTTATTCTCAAAGTGCGCGAGCTAACCAGCGAAGAAGCTGCCGCCGCCGCTGCTGCTGCTGACGACGCCAACGATGAGGACGAAAACTCGTCTCTGCACACCGAAAAATGCATATACGATGGTAAGCCCACGCTGTTGTTCGTGTTGCGTATCCGTGGCCCCACCGCAGCCAAGATCCCGCAAAAGGCACACAAAGTGTTGTCGCTGCTTAGACTTTCGGAGGTCAACACCGGTGTTTTCGTGCGTCTGTCGCCCCAGGTTTACCCGCTACTGAAGCTTGTGGCGCCCTACGTCGTGGTGGGCGAGCCATCGCTGGCGTCCGTGCGTTCCCTGATCCACAAGAGAAGTCGCGTGCTGCTGGCGCCCTCTGATGGAGAAGAGCCTCGCGAAACCATCCTGAACGATAATAACGTGGTCGAGGAAAAACTCGGGTCCGAAGGCATTATCTGTGTCGAGGATATCATTCACGAGATCGCGACTTTGGGCGACAGCTTCGCCAAATGTAACTTCTTCCTTCTTCCCTTCCGCCTAAATCGTGAAGTGTCTGGATTTAGCGCTATCAGCAAGCTGCACAAGATCAGACAAAGAGAATGGCAAAAACGAGCCCTAAAAGTGTCCAATGCCTCCACAGCACCAGTCGTCCAAGTCGACGTCGATAGCCTGATCGCCAAGCTTAACTAGATCTCCACACAGTCCAACCAACTGCCGACACTACCATATTCAAAGAAACGAAGCTCATCGCTTCGCATCCTGCCACGTGACTCTATGACTTCTCCGTCCTATCTTCAAATTTTTGGCCGGTACCGGCCTAAAGTTCAAAGCTTCATTTTTTTTTTCCACCGGTACCGGTCATTTTATAATGATTTGATCACTACTACAACATCCATATATATTATGTACATTAACCGAGATTCATCCACAGCTTCAAACCGGTCTTTCTTGTTCTTGGAAGTAGCTATATCGTTCATTCAAACTCATCAGTATTTGGGTGTTTGTCAGTTAAAGAATATCGTAGTTGACCCTTAGCTTAGCAGAAATTATGTCTGAAGTCAAGAAAATTGTTGTTCTTCCTGGTGACCATGTTGGTCAAGAGATCACCGAAGAAGCCATTAAGGTGTTGAAAGCCATTTCTGAAGTCCGCCCCAATGTCAAGTTTGATTTCCAACAACATTTGATCGGTGGTGCTGCCATCGATGCCACCGGTGAGCCTCTACCAGACGCCTCTTTGGAAGCGGCCAGAAAGGCAGACGCTGTCCTTTTGGGTGCCGTTGGTGGACCAAAATGGGGTACTGGCCTGGTCAGACCCGAACAGGGGCTTTTGAAAATCCGTAAGGAACTGCAATTGTATGCCAATTTGAGACCTTGCAACTTTGCCTCCGACTCGTTGCTGGAATTGTCGCCATTGAAAGCTGAGCACGCTCGCGGCACCGACTTCGTCGTTGTCAGAGAATTGGTCGGTGGTATCTACTTTGGCGAGAGAAAGGAAGATGACGGCGACGGTGTCGCCTGGGACAGCGAAAAATACTCGGTTCCTGAGGTGCAAAGAATCACCAGAATGGCTGCCTTCTTGGCCCTGCAACACAACCCACCTTTGCCAGTATGGTCTCTAGACAAAGCTAATGTGTTGGCTTCTTCTAGATTGTGGAGAAAGACCGTCGAAAAGACCATTAAGGAGGAATTCCCAACTTTGACCTTGCAGCACCAACTGATCGACTCTGCCGCTATGATTTTGGTCAAAAACCCAACCCAGTTGAACGGTGTCATCATCACCAACAATATTTTTGGTGACATCATCTCAGATGAGGCCTCCGTGATCCCAGGCTCGCTAGGTCTATTGCCATCCGCATCGCTAGCCTCCCTACCAGACACCAACACCGCCTTCGGTCTGTACGAGCCTTGCCACGGTTCTGCACCAGACTTGCCTAAGGGTAAGGTCAACCCAGTTGCCACTATTTTGTCCGCCGCTATGATGTTGAAACTATCTTTGAACTTGTTTAAAGAAGGTGCTGCTGTGGAAGAAGCCGTCAGAAGAGTCCTAGATTCCGGTTTGAGGACTGCTGACCTCAGAGGCACAAACTCGACTACTGAAGTCGGTGACGCTATCGCCAAGGCTGTGAAGGAGATTCTAGCCTAAACATTACCATTTGACGCAAGTCGTTAACGAGATGAACGAATGTTATATGTACTAGACTGTAAAAGGAATAATAAACAACCATAACAACACTAAAATTAACTCTTTGGATATAAGCGGGCGTAAGGTGCGACGTCGCTGCGCGAAACCTCGAATGAATAAATCTTCAGGGAAAGCTTAGATGTATGTGTGATGCGGAGAGGGGAATTGGACGAAAGCCCCAATTAATGACCAGACCACTCGATCGAGTTTATATCAATACCTTCCTTAACCATTTCCCATAGCGGCGACAGCTCTCTAAGGAACTCTACCCTTTCAGTGATAGCTTTGATCACATAATCGATCTCTTCGTCGGTTGTGAATCTACCGATACCAAATCTGATCGACGAGTGAGCTAAAGCGTCATCTTTACCCAGCGCATGGAGAACATAAGAAGGTTCAAGGGAGGCGGAAGTACAGGCGGACCCTGAGCTCAACGCAATATCTCTTAGCGCCATCAACAAAGATTCACCCTCGACGTACGCAAAGGAAATGTTCACGCAACCAGGATAACGGTGATCTGGGGATCCATTTAAGGACGTGTGTTCAATTGCTAGAAGGCCATTGGTCAATTTTTCCGATAGCCTCTTGACATGCACAGAATCCGCGTCGAATTCCTGCTTCATTAGTCTTGCAGCTTCGCCAAATCCAGCTACTAAAGAAGGTGCCAAAGTGCCCGACCTTAACCCTCTCTCTTGACCACCACCAGAAATGATAGGTTCCAATCTCACGCGAGGTCTTCTTCTCACATAGATAGCACCCATGCCCTTGGGACCGTAGATTTTGTGTGACGATATTGACATCAGATCGATGTTCATTTCGTTAACATCCAAAGGAATTTTTCCGTAGGCCTGAGCGGCATCTGTGTGGAAAAATACTTTATTCTTCTTACAAAGTGCACCGATTTCCTTGATAGGCTGCATCACTCCGATTTCGTTGTTGACAGCCATGATTGAGACAAGACAGGTGTCGGATCTAATCGCTGCCTCTAGCTCTTTTAGGTCGACGAGCCCATCCTCGCTGACATTGAGAAAGGTCACTTCATAACCCTCGTTTTTCATGGCCCTGGCAGCTTCCAAAACGCATTTGTGTTCCGTTCTGGTCGTGATTATGTGCTTCTTAGTCTTTTTGTAAAATCTTGCCACGCCCTTTAAAGCTGTGTTGTTGGACTCTGTAGCTCCAGACGTGAAGATAATTTCCTTGACGTCTGCGTTTATCATATCGGCTATATGCTTTCTGGCAGACTCCACTTCCTTATTGGTTTCCCACCCATAGCTGTGGGTGTTCGAGTGTGGATTACCGTACAGACCTGTGTAAAACTTGAGCATAGTGTCGAGTACACGAGGATCAGTGGGCGTCGTCGCCTGCATATCCAAATATATCGGCCTCGTCCCGAAGCCAGTATTTTCTTGGTAAGCATGTTTGAGTGCAGTGGTACCGGACTCTACAACCTCTGATGAATTAGCTCTGGCATCGGCGAGGTCTTGGTGCGCCTTCTGTAGATCGGTGTGAGTTTCTAGCGGGAGGTCAAATGCGACTTTCGCAGTAGCATAACATCTCGGCCTTAGTAATGCCGGTCTTTGGCTCTTAGAGAGCACTGATCGAGTAATGGATCTCAACATCTTTAAAGTCTACTGCCTTCTGCCAAGATGTAGACAATGCAACGATGACTATTTTCTATGTGCGTAAAATAGATAGATTATAAATATATTGAGAATTGAAGATGGGATACGTGTCATGTGACCTTTATAAAGAAGTCGCGTTTGTCGCACCAAGGTACCGAGACTCATCTCGATGACTTTGACGGCTTCAAATTCCAATAAGTATTGAAGGTCTCTCTTGCGGATTTTAGTCGTAGAGAAATTACTAATTGGGACCTCAGATCATGTTAGTTCATAATGGCTTTTCTGAACTTTTCTAAAAAACGTTCTCGATAGTAATTTCATAATGACGAACCTCCAGAGGCACAGTGATTCGAAAAAGTTGGCAACATCTTCAAAACAATAGCCGTTAGCTTCCAATCATGTTTCGTAACTTGTCTTGCGGGGTCTTTTTTTTTTCTGGCAACACCGGTAAAATGCTAAACATAAATTGTTGGACATGTCAAAGACAGTAAATACATCAAATCGGATCAATCTCAAGAATTAGAAGCGTCTAGATTCTTGACCTCTGAGACGGTAAACAATTGGGAGGCCCTCAATTTCCAAACATTTGATTAATTTTTGAAGACTTAAAAGCCTTCGACATTGTCGAATGGGAAATGCTGACAGGTCGTCATCGCCTGGTCCGATCGAGGCATAGTCTCAGCTTTGACATGCGAAATCTCCCACCGCGATCGCTCACGTAGTGTAACTCTGTAGTTAATTTCCAGGTCGCGTGATCTGGCCGGCCGGTATTTCGCAATCAACTTGGCCTTTGTAACGTCATTCACCGCGAAAACAATCCAAAGATATCTCCTAGAGCCGGCGCATATCGCTTGCCAAGCAAATTGGTCAATTCGCCTTCCCCAAAACTCGTTTTGTCAGTGCCCACTTGCCAGATTTGAATTAATTTCTTTCGGGCGTCTTGTCACCTGCTGCTAGTATTGAAAAAACCCATATTCTAGGAATAGTACGTCTAGTTCCCGAATATAGAGAGAGAGAAAGCACGCCACGATGGACAATGCCTCTTTCATAGCGTCTCTGCTGGCTGGGGCAGCCGCTGGTACCTCTACCGATCTGGTTTTTTTTCCAATTGACACGTTAAAAACTCGACTTCAAGCAGTTGGAGGGTTTTTCGCTAATGGAGGATATTTCGGTGTGTACAGAGGCCTAGGAAGTGCAGTGGTCGCAAGCGCGCCCAGCGCTTCTTTGTTCTTCGTTACCTACGATGGGATGAAGTCTTTCTCACGTCCCACTTTCGACAGGCTCATCCCCTCCAATGACCAAATGGCGGAAACAGCCACACACATGTTTTCATCCTCTGCTGGTGAAGTTGCAGCTTGTATGGTGAGAGTCCCTGCAGAGGTGATTAAGCAAAGGACTCAAACGCACCAATCGGACTCTTCTTGGCAAACCTTAAAGAAATTGTTGAAAAATGAAAACGGGGAAGGCGTGAGGCGCAATCTCTACCGCGGCTGGTCCACAACAATCATGAGGGAAATCCCCTTCACCTGTATTCAGTTCCCCCTTTACGAGTTTCTCAAGAAAAAATGGGCGCTGGCGACTAACCGCGATCAAGTTGCTCCATGGCAAGGTGCGTTCTGTGGTTGCTTTGCAGGAGGTGTAGCCGCTGCGACCACCACACCATTAGATGTTCTCAAAACTAGATTGATGCTCAGCCATAAATCCGTCCCTGTCTTACGACTAGCCCGTCAGATATACACTCAGGAGTGCTGGAAAGTGTTTTTCAGTGGTGTAGGTCCCAGAACTTTATGGATAAGTGCCGGCGGTGCCATTTTCTTGGGTGTGTACGAAAGTGTCCACTCCGTCCTTTCCCTGTGATAGACAATATAATATTCTCACAAAAACTTCATTGTAGCTGGTTCTCGTAATATAGCATTCTCAGCGTGCGCTCACCAGCGTGCGCTTGCCTTGTCTCTTTCTCCTAGCATACTTCATGACGAAATTATCGATTTTTACGCCCTTCGTGTTCAGTTGTTCAATGTACGGAATCATCTCCTCCAGTTCCCAGCTAGATTGTAGTTTGAAAAGGTACGCAAACCTCTCTTTTGGATCATCGGGGAGGGTCTGCTTCGAAAAGTACTGTATGCTTCTTCCCAAGGGACGGTAAAAACAACCCCGTAACGCGGCGAAATCCAAATCGCAGGTGAAGTATGGAGGAAATGAAGATTTCCATTTTATCATAAACTCTTCTTGTGAAATCATAACACGGGATGCATACTTCTTTAGCGCTTCCACGCCATACCATTGGCTTACGGCCTTGCGCTGAATAGCGTATTTTCCTTCATCTGTCACCTTAGAAAACTTTCCAACAACGGTGCGAACCACATCCAAAGTGAAAGGGTTGAATTCCTCGCCTTCCCCCATGTCCTTGTTCACAGCAGCGAATACTTGCGACATATCAAGCGCTTCGAAGTCGAGCGATTCTGCCATGCAACTCATGAGCAATATATGCAGAACCCTCGAGATAAAGTCTTGAGACAAGATGCAGGCCACATCGTCCACGACACAGCCTCCAACAATGGGCCACTTTCTGGCAAATTCCTCATCGGAACATGGCGAATATTTTTGTAAGGCCTTCAGCGTCCATCGAACGGCGTTCGACCGCTGCAGGGTTTCCTTAAAGTCCTGATAGTCCCCTGTATAAATCGGCAGCATACTGATATCGATGTCGCCTTTAGTTAAACGCGCCTCTAACTCTTTACTTTGCTTGGTATATGCAAGGTGATACATTGATGGCTCTTCGACTCCGGGAGGGAGACGAATTCCACTGTCAGACACGTCTTCTGGTATGAATTCCCTCATCACAAGAGCGGTGTTCGAGTGATTTTTCTGTCTCAGGAGCCACGTCTTGTTCTTCGAGCAGAGAACCACCGAGTCCTCTGGACTTGATGCTTTGAACTCAAGCTTACTGCCCGCTTCGAGGGCTGCTAGCAATTCTGAGTTCAGAACCAGCAATTTGTAGTCTTCATCCGTGTGTAGCTGCGAGTACAGCCCAGTGGTAGGCATGGCCTGAGTGATTGCAAGCTGTCTGTCGTTTGCTCGTCTCTGATGGCGCTCGCTGGTCTGTAGTAGATCATCTAATAAATTTGACGCGTTTGTCACGTGAGTTTTATTGACGTGTAACTGCTGATGCCAAGGTCGTAAAGACTCCAGACCAGAATAATTGTACTGCTGGCAAGTCGAGTCGGAGGTCAGGGCTCAGAGAACTTGAATGGCACATTAAATCTAGAAGTTCTCCGTCAGAGAAATTGCGAAGTTAGCCTTTATACTTGAATTGTTTACCAATTTTTCGCATTGGTGAGCTGAGCACGAGTGTCATTGAACAAAAGCATATGCGACTTTCTGATAACAGTTCCCGACGACTTGGCAGCACACTCGGCATTTGCTAACCTATGCTTTTTCCAGAGAGCAAACTCGCTATATTTGTACGCCAAATGACAGTCCAATGGCGCCAACATTAAGCTGCCTCCCATAAAGAAAAGCAGCAACGTCTTCGAGGAATATGAATTGAAACTTTACTCGTGGCAGAAAATGTTAGCAATTCAATCTACGAAAAGCGGCCAGATTTCATTTGAAAATGCGAGATTGCTCAAATGTATTCTTCGCTAATTGCATATGTTTCACGCAAAGAGAGCGAGAAGTCGCCTGGCGCCAAAATCAGAAGAAGCGATAAGAGAGGAATAACGACTGTATTTAATGGGATCGTTTGTGCAGGCTAATTCAAACAAGCAGAAGACTTCCTTTTTTGTACACTTACATGTCGTTGACAGTTCATTATACTCGCCAGTTGATCTGCCGAAAATGATCAGCCACGCTCGATTCCGCATAATTTATATATCCGGAGATCCCCTTGCTGTCATATGATGTCAAAGATCCGTTCCAAAATCTTAATGCATTTCAAAAGATTCAACGGCATTGCAGTCTACGCCCTCGGTGAATTCAATTCTTCATTATGCAGATTTTTTGATACAAATGCTTCTGAATCTTCCCAAGTCGCACAGAATGCCAATTCCTCCGAATTTGCCTCTGTTATACAGAGGTGCGCATGGTTTCTCGAACCCTTATATTAGTGTTCCAATGTTTCGCCAGTAATTGTTTCGAAAAGTCCAAAGCTCAAAGAGTCCGAATGAGAATGGGTTCGGCACTTAATATTCTGGTGAAGAGAGTCAACTACATACCGTCCGGTGTGGACCTTCGAGCAGAAGTTACTGAATCATCACATTACAGCTCACGTTCACGTGTGTGAAATGAAGCCCAGATCACCACCTCATAATTTTTATTAGCTGAAAATGCACTCGAATAATTCGGAAGCCTGAAAGGTAAACACCTTTGAATACAAGAATAGATCGTCCCCTGAGCTGATGGAGAAGCCGCTGCAAACTCAGGAAACTCTTCGATCTCCACGCAAAGCGATTGAAGAGCGCTCGCTAAAAAATGGTGTTAGGCTAAGACAAAATCTTTTCGTGGATGCAGCGCCAGAAGGGAAAGACTTGGTTGGAGCAGTGTTTCCTGACGCAGCTGTCTACAGAGGCTACGACGAACTGCTTTGGGGCTACTTCATTATTGCCGTGTATAAGGATCCAAGCACCAGTAAACTGAACTCCCTGATCGTGGATAAGCTGGGAACAACGTATTTTGACGCTGTCAATACTTCTCGAAAATCGCGATTTTATCCTGCAATCGAGAACTTGTCCCCTCAAAACATCAATTCAAGCGTTAGAAAATGTATAGCTGTCTCTTTGCTGCAAAAATTCGCCGATTTGAAACCCGAAATAACACAGAAACTCCAACCACATATGAAATACGACTATGATCCCACAACGGCCGGAGATCTCGCTAACAACTGCGAGCTCATTGGTTTCTGCTCTCCTGCAGATGTAGGTAAAAGTTTGGATCGTCTGGGGTTTCTACAAGACCACCATATAAACTCGTTTCTTCTCGACGTCGTTTACGAGCAGAAGCCATCTGCTATTGACGCCAACAATGAGCTCGTTTTCCATTTAGGCGATCAACTGGAGCAGCTTTTTGATCCTTTGGCAGAGTACTCCCCGGAACAAACAGAAATCATATACAAACCACCGGAGGACCACACGAACCTGGAAAAAGACGATCCGATGGTATCTTCTGTGTGCAACGAACTACTGCAAGTGCAAACAAAATTTACTCTCAGCTTGGTGGAGTTTCTTCAGAAGTTTCTGATACCTCTTCGCATAGAAGTGGCCAACGATGAAATAGATGGACTTTCAATACCAAAGCTAAACCGTCTATTTCCTCCAACTATCGATGAGGTTACACGAATCAATTGCATTTTCTTAGATGCTTTGAAAGCTTCTAGTTCCTATGGCTCACAAGAGGTCTTAAATGCCTGCAGCATCACCATTCCATACTTTTACAAAGCTTACACAAGACATGAGGCAGCTACCAAGAGCTTCTCGAAGCATATCAGGCCCTTTATGGCCAAGTTTCAAGATAAACTGCCGTCCCGTGATATCTACTCGCGGCTGAAGATGGAAACCATTATAAAGAGCCCTCAGGAGATTGTCTTGAAAATGAAACTCATTCTCGATCGGCTGTGGTCAAATAAAAGGTGGGCGCCCGAAAATGCAGAGTTGGCTGAGGCTCGGTACTCGACAACTTGCGATATAATTGACTCGTTTGGAGCAGACGAAAGGCCATTGAGCACTTACAGCGCAAGGGTCTTCACTCCATCAGGCAAATTATTAACAGAGTTAGCGAAGGGCTGGCCCACCGAATTACAGTATAATTGGCTCAAAAGAAGAGTTGTAGGTGTTTTTGACGTGATGGACTCTAATGATAATACGCAAAGGAACATTCTCGTCATTTTTAGCGACTACATTGTAGTGCTCAATGTCATCGACACTGGTTCATATTATGATAATTTCGCCGCCAAAAAACCGCTTCTTTCGGATGTACTGATGAACTCTCTAATAAATGAGGTTCCTCTTCCTCCGAAAGTTCCGAAATTGCAAGTGGCAAATTTCTTCTACATTGACAACGTAATAGCATCGACTTTCGGAAAAGACATGATCAGAATCGATCATGTTGAGCCCAGTAATGCTAGTGCTGTCGCGTTCAAAATTATTTCATCGTCTCTAACAGGCTCCGATGTTGTCGATTTGATCGTAAAAGCCAAAGTCTTAGAGAAAGAAACGGCATTTCATCTATTCCGATACGTGGATGAGGATCTTCAGATATTTTCTACCGCTCATGAAATGAGTGCTTACTCTACGGAGAGCATACGATCGAAGTTTTGTCTGTTCTTGAACATCGACCCCTCTCCAAATTTCCTTCACGAAAATAACTTAGTCGCGGTATTCTTTGCAACACTGAAGCCTAACGGCTGTGTCACAATTACTGAACTGACTTGTGAAGGAAGCGAAAAGCGTTTCACCGTTGAATTGCATGGCTTAGTACAGGTCCTGTTTTCAGAAATAAAAACACTTTACACCAAGTTTTACTCTACAGCACATTCACCTTTCCTCACTCAACTATTAGAGATCAATGGCCAACTAGTTAAAAGAGTAGGCCATCACTTCAATGAGGATTTAGAGGTAGCCTCCGCATATCAAATGGGGAACGCTTCCTTTATCGCAGCGTCTCATTCGACATGCTCCCGATCCAGGTCCTTGACTACCGCCACAACATTTAGGAGTTCCACGAGCAATTTACAGCAGGAATCGCCTACAAAAAAGGATCAAGTCATTAAACATCGTGGAGAGGTCGTTGAAACAAAGTACGAAAAGAACCAAACCGTCAAAGAAAGAGATCGAAAGACTGGAGGAGTGTCTAGCCGAAAAAGGCGCAGCTTCATGGGAAAAATCTCAAGACTTTTTGGCAAGAAAGACTCTAAACAAAATGAAATCACCACCAAGACCCCCAAACGTGCCCCTAAGGCTAAATTGCCTACTCCCAGTTCTATTAAAGAAAGATCTCAGGTTACGGGACGTGGCGGCACGCAGCGCATGAGCTCTATTGTACACAAGCCATTGACAATGCAGAAGAGTAAGGAAAGGAACAGCCTTTTGTCTGATGTAACTAGCTCCAGGGTTCCTAGCACCGAATTATTGTCTTCCAACAATGCTGAAAAGACGACTACCTCTCGTCGACCTCCTTCCGTTCTTGATCACGTTCCCGGTGTCAACCTTAATTCAGAGCTCAATGGTCAGAAAATATACAAATTGGATGGAGAGGAACGCGAGAGTAGGCTCTTCAATCAAGATCTATATGGAGATGACTTTGATGTAGAAAAAGATGATACGCAGGTCAGTGTCAATGCTGGACGCCAAAATGAAAAATTGGAGGCATTCGTCGAAAACCGTCAATCTGACAATATTTCCTCTAACAAAGAGGATTCCTTGTTAGTAGGACGGGGATTAAACGCCAACACTCTACAAGACATTCAAAACAGAAATTTAGATTTGGTTCAAGATCATGAGCAATTGTCGTCTCAAGCTGATGAAGAGGGGCGTAACAAAAATCCCACTGAAGAATCGAAGCAAAAACGTAAGATATTTCCAGAAGTGAAAAGACTTATCGTTCAGAATAGTCAATTTGAAAGATCTCCCTCCTTCAGAGAATTCTTTGAAAATATGAGACTAGTCCTGGATGACAGTGATGAAGCTTCTAATTGGAAGAGACTCCCGAGTGACACATCTTTGAAAACCAAACAGAGATCATTCAATAAGAAGCCAGATACTCACGCTTTCAAAGATCTTGTACCTCTGAATAGATACCCGTCAGAGCATGGCATTGCGCAATCTCAGGGAACACACGATATGGACGAGTCATCGACACCACAATCAAAGGGCCCAGACATCAATGATAAACCCCCAAATTCCACTGGCCATGACGAGGCCAATACACAAACTGATATTTCAGGGAATGCAAAGGTCGTCAACAAGATTGCAGAAGCACTTGCAAATAACCGAAATAACACGGCAGGGTTCAAAGTAATAAAGCACTCGCCTTCGAAGACCGTCAACTTTGATGCAAAGAGCTCTTCGCTCCCACCTGAAGAACCAGCCATCCAGCTCATTGGGGAAAGAGACAGTGTTTTGCAAGTGCCAACAACACGCAACGTATTGGGCGATTCGAACTCTCAGGCCAATGGACCGGAAAAGAGTGCTGGATACGAACATGACAAAAAAGGCGGCTTGATTCTTGAAGAGCTGACCGATGCTAAACAGCGAGTTGCGCCAACCTTAACAGGCAACAATAGCAGCAAAGCCGATGTTAGCGGCGCTGTGATCAGTCGTAGGGACAGTGCGACCCAGGAACAGCTTCTAGATGACCCTGACTTCAGTTCATTTCATATCACCTTTAGTGACAGCGAAGAAACACAAGATCTAGCGAGATATGACCAGCCAACGACCTTGTGGACTCGCACCGTACTCGGACAGTCACCTGAGCTGGAGCCCGTATTCTACAGACTGCCTGCAATTGAAAGGTCCAACGAAACCTTTTTCACCTGTACGGATGGCGACATCGGCAAGTCAGGACTCGCAAGACGTGCTGGCAGACCTATTGAAAATGAAGATGCTGATGAGGCACTGTGGATATCACCCAGCAAGCTAGACATGTTCGATTTGAGTAAACAGCCCGAGAACGTTTTTGCTCAAATCAGTCTTAAAAACAAGCGAATACCAATCAAAGAAGCTTGCTCCCCAAATTTGACTAATTTAGCGGATGATAAGGATCTCTTACCGGATTTTTCATATGCTTATCTAGGTGGTCTTTTGATGCACGATGGGGATGACAACGTCGATGAAGAGGATGACGACGTCAACAGCGCTGGTGAACCGACACGTCTCAGATTCTATGGGTGACGTGAAAGCACTTTGCTGCATATATAAGGCCTTTCATATATAACTAATGACTAGGAAAAGCACGTTAGGATTATCACGATGTTCTGAAAGTCACTGCTTTGGGGTCCAGTGGCATGCCGTTGGCGGCTATATTGTTATTCCCGAGCTTTTGCTTTAAATAGATGAATCTTGCTTGATCAAAGTCCACTCGATCCTGTTGCATTATTTGCTTGATTTCGTTTTTGGCCTCGTCATCCAGACCATCTCTTTGGTCATCTGCATTGTGGCTCGACAGATCGAAGTTTCTAGACGTAAAGCCAGCTTCTATATCCTCAGAAAAGCCATTATTCAGTCGAATGCCCCTATTTAAGAAATTTCTCTGTCTCTCCCATATGTCCACATAGTTCTCTTCAAGAAATGGTTAGTTGAATGATGTGATGTTTCTTGAATAGTTCGACATACCTCTTATTCGTTCACGCCGTATGAAAACGAGAAGGGCGCAGCCCATCAGTGCGATAACAGCGCAAGCTTTCGCAGAAACCATCATTGTTTGAAAACTGTCCTACCCCACACCCTATGGCTATTGCAAGCTTACGCGATGCCTTTCTTCGAAGTCCTAAAATTATCAACTGGAGGCCCTAAAAACTCAGCAAAATAGATCTTTCAAATCAAAAAGGAAACGCTATATTGACACAGCGGTGCTCGCTACTCGTGTTTTTGACTATAGATGTTTCAATACGTGGTTTTACTCATGTATAGCCTGCCTTTAGCTTTAATGAGTAGCAGCTTCTGCTCTTTATTCAAGTTTGTCACATGCTATGGAAGTACACATATGAACGACAGCAGTCAATATTAGGCCATTCGGGCAGCTGTGAGACATCCCGTCGACTTAGAGTTCAGTCATCGAGCTTCAATGATATCTCACGTAGGAAATTGAGAGTTCTCTACCGCCGTAAGAATATTTGTCTAGTCTGCTGATGCAAGTTTCAGCATTCTCGATATCTTCGTATTCCACTACTGCAACACCAGTTGGCTCGCCTGTCGAGTCTAGCCTTAGCTCTGCCCTATTCACGGGACCTATGATCTCAAAGAGATCAAACAAGTCGCTTTTAGCTGTAGCGTAAGGTAAATTGTCCACGTACAATGTATTTGACTTTTCTCCATCTCCTACGGCATTTTCGGTCAATTCGGAGTTCACAGGCCCAGCTTCTTGCAACGGTTCCTGATGCTCGTCTTGGATGTCTGCGATGTCGTCTTTCCATGGACCGTGCCCTCGCTTGAGCTCCAGAATTCGGCCTTCTAGCTCGAAACCAGAAAATCTATCCAAAGCCGCTTGTGCCTCCTCCTGAGTTTCGTAAATGACTGTGCCAAATCCTCTAGACCTTCCGTTACGGTCTAGCTTGACATCTGCCCTCGTCGGAACGCCGCATTCCTTGAAAAGATCTTTGAGAGATTGCCAGCTAATGGAAAACGGCAGGTTGGCAATGAAAACTTCATAGCCCGGATGAAATCTATCGGCCAACGATTGCTGAGCGCTTCGCCTCTCATCTCTTCTCCCGCTTTCTGGTGGTGGATTGTCTTCACGAACAAATATGTCTCTACCCAGAAACGAGAAGCCGTTAAATTTGCGCATGGCCTCGCCAACGTCGTCAGGATTTGTGAACTCGACCGTACCCATGCCTCTGTGGTGGCCGCGCGCAGTTATTATATCGGAACGCACCACATGGCCAACCTCGCTGAATAAGTCTTTGAGATCGGATGCTTGGCAGTCGTAAGTTAGGTTACCCACGAACGCACAGTTGGCGTAGTTTCTGGTGTACTTTTCATCATAAGCGGAATCTGGCTCGCCTGACCTGAAAGAGTCGTTTTCTCTGAAGTCCCTTCTGCCTCTTCTGCGTGGAGGAAAGTCGCCATAGCCGCCACGGCTGCCTCTGTATCCCCCGCGAAACCCACGAGGCGCTCTACCACGGCCTCGTGGATAATCGCTTGCATAGTTATCGATACCAGCGCTGCCGTTGTTGTACCTGCTTGGACGAGGTGCGTCAGAGCTCGCTCTGCCACTATAATCATTCACCGATGAACGCCGGGCTCCCGGCGATCTCGATCTAGACCTTTGGCCATGCTACAAGATTTCAGATTAGTTTTCAGTCCAGGTTAATGCAGAATGAAATCTGGATTCGTACTTTCACAGGAAAACTTGGATTCACTTTCACATAAAGCACTGCTAAATGTCCTCCAATTGAAAAGCAGGTCTAAAGTTTGTGAATCATGAATCACAAGGATCTCCAAAACAATCCGTTTTCTTGAAAATCAATTCATTCTAACATACATATTCGTAACTCATTGTAACTTTTGCTTAGCTTTAGCTCTTACGCTTAGTTCACGTAGCTTTCAATATCACTGTGGCCCGCTCTTGCCTTGCGCAGGCCTCTTAAATTTTTATTCCGTATTGAATATGGCAAGCACGTGACTTCTTTGGATCAATGTTGTAAATGGTCAACAGGCTTGGCAGGAGACACTCAGGGCCCGATGTAGGCTAAGTCTTCAATCCGGGGTCATTTCTTGTCATTGCTTGCCATTAGGATGAGATTGTCTTTTTTTCCAGCTTCATAGCGATGGGAGACAGGAAAGGAGACAAGAATAAAATTGTGAACGAGTTCTGGTTGAAAGTTGCTTTTGACACAGGCTGGGCGACCTACACAAACGCCATCAGACGCTAGCGGGATTGAAATGTGCTTCGAAGCCCACCTTTTCTGCTTTTTTCCCAATCGAAGACCTCGGCTACCTTTTTGCATTTGACGCTTGCTAATCTCAACGACGGGCTGGGAAAGGAAGCACGAGCCTCCTGGCGACCTCTGTCTCTTTGTCAACTTCCTCTTCGCCATCGAATCTCAGCTTGCAAGTGCCGTCGCGCTTGTGCCCGATGACAACTGCTGGGTAAAATGTGGTCGTTTCTGGATAGCGCGCCAGCACCTTCGTTCCACTTGGATAATTGGGAGTCTGGTGTTTCGGTACGCTGACTGCAGGTAGCAGAATGATGTCTTTCCAGCTGCACTTATACACCTGACCTGGGTTCCCCAGTTCATCAGGTTCTGGATCGCGAACCTCAAATTTGGTACCGTCGTTCGAAATCTTGATGACCTGACATTGAAACCACTCGCCATCGCCGCCTCTTTTCGGCTTGTAGGCCACCTCCGACTCCAGTACGATCGGCTCGCTCGGATTGAAAGGGCTTGTCCAGTACGATCTACCCGCGAACGACTCTGCATATACTGTATCCCTCTCCTCGGCTTTTTCGGACTGTTCCTCTGAATACTTGATAACAGCTCCCAAATTCGAAGATATAACGCGAATCAGCCCCAACGCACTTTCCACATTCTGTGAATGCGCCGAAAACAACTCTAATTGCGATCGCAGTTGTTCCAGTGCCAAATTTTGAAAATTAATCCTCTTCTCATTCACCATGTCGTCGAAACTTTGAGTTTCGTGTTTCTTATAAAGTTCCTGGAGCGATGAAACAACCACATCCCATTGATCATCCATTGTGTTGATCTTTTAACCGCTGAGAAATGTTATTTTCACGATATATTCCTGTCAAAATTCGATTTTTTATTGAATGATAATTGAAAATTTAATTTAACGATTTTATGCTAAAGTTAGTGCACTGAGTTATAAGAACACTCGACTAAGCTGACAAGAAAACTAGACCATGACACTTTGGAATAGCTTGCTTGGCTATAATAGAGTTCCGGCAGGAAAAACTGCTGTCAATGTTTTCCAGCAAATTAGGACAGCTACAAAGAAAGCAGCGGGGTCTAGAACTTCGATGAAGGACTCAGCAGGTCGTCGATTGGGGCCCAAAAAAAACGAGGGACAAAAGGTGACACCTGGTGAGATTTTGATGAGACAGCGGGGCACCAAGTTTTACCCCGGAGAAAATGTCGGAATCGGCAAAGATCACACTATTTTCGCCCTGGAACCGGGATTTGTTCGTTTTTATCTGGATCCCTTCCACCCCAAGCGTAAGTTCATTGGTGTGGCACTCAATGAGAGCTCTAAACTACCCACTCCGCATTTTGCTCCTCGTGTAAGACGTTTCGGACGTCAGCTAATAGAAAATGTCGAGAAGGCCCGCAAAGAAACCAACTCACTTACGAGAAAACAATTTCTTGCTCGCGACTCTATCGCTGCAGGCATGAAGGAACGTGAGATCCAAAGGGCAGCTCTTTCCCTCAGACTTGCAAAAACTCTTACCGAAACGCTAAACTTGGGTTTGGAAGGGCAAGCCATGAGCTGGGCCACTAGCTACCTTATGCGACTACGGTCCTGCCTCAAGAACGGCTTCGCTCTGAGCGATGCGCAATATAACTCTCGTCACTGCCTGGAACAAGAGATAATCTTACAGGCGAAACGCGAAGGCTGGGCGCAAGAAGCTGTTGATGCCAAGCTTCGCGAGCTCCAAATAGTTACAGACAAATTAGACTGCTCTACGTCTTTCAACAACAGGCTAGAGTTGACCAGGCACATTTCACTGACCGAACGTGAAGATCGAAAATTAGAGCTGCTCAAAGACCTGGCAGGTATGACGCTTGCGACTCGTAAGGACAAAAAAGAAGTAGAGAAAATGCTTGAGTCGTCTAGCGAGTACTTAACGAAGTCTGAAGAAGTGCACCTGCGGAGACGTTTTCTGAAACCCGTTCAGCCTGAAGGAGTCGCTAAGGACACTAAGTCTGACAAAAAATCTGTCGTTGTGAGAAGGTTCAACTACATCAGAGGCGGTATCGACTCCATTCCCAGAGCCAAAACTGCATTCTTGAGTAAACTCTGAAAAAAAACAGAATAGTCCGACACATAGACCTGTAAATAGCACGACATACTAAAATAAGCCTCGTTTCGTTCAATACCTCTTGAAGGAAATGGAGCTAAACGGTTATACTCATTATTTAACCTCTTACGTATTGGCGTGTAAACCTAGATATTTATTGTACTTTCTTAACCAGGTGGTAGTTGCGAAACATCAACAAAATCGTTTATCTGCTTGTCAGCATCTTCCTCGGCTCTGGTCTCCAATGGTGTTCTTGGCAAAGCCATCATACCACTTCTAGCAACTTCCAACACACCAAATGGCTCCACCAATTTCAAAAATGCAGAGATACGCGAGGGCTTCGCGCTCAATTCAATAATGCAATTCGTTTCACTAATGTCCACAACACGACCGCCAAAATTGTCCGCCAAAGTAGTGACACTTCTCAAATGTTCATGTTTCATTCTCAAGGTCTCGCTCAATGGCAGATTGGATGGGTGGAACTGTTTTCCTCTAATCTGGGACACAGCTTCATGGGATCCGTTGGCACAATCAGAACCAGTCTTCTCGTGATGCTGAATGAGGTCTTCGAAATATTCTGCTCCAAGCAGAGACACACGAGCCATCAAAAGCTCTCTCTTGATGATGTCCGCATTGGAGTAATCCAAGACCGCATAGACGGGCACAAGGTCCTCAATTTGACGTCTCGCTTGTTCGATGACACCGTCTTGCCCTTGGAGTACGATCGTCATTCTGCTCAAATCTTTGACCTCGGTATTGCACACCACCAAGGAATCGATGTTAAAGCCCCTGGCGGCCAGAGTACCACTAATCCTAGACAATACACCTGGTTCATTTTGTACCAAGCAGTTCAAAACGTGTTGTTTGCGGGAGACACGAGATGGTGTTGGAGTCTCGTAAAGAATGGAGGAAACAGCGGATTTGGCACTCCAGGAAGGTGTTTCCAAAGTGGGCAAGGGTGGGCTTACTTTATTCTTGTGCAATTGTTTATACGCCAAAGCAGAGGTAGATGACGAGCTGTGGCGGATAAGCAACCTTTCGGCGCCTTTTGTTTTCACTATCGCCCTAATCATTGTCACTGAGCTGATAACAGGGTTTGGAAGAGATGTTGTTGTTCAAAGCGACGTAGAGTTATATCTTGAATTCTATTCAAGTTAATTTCATGATCTAAAAAATTTTCGATTCTGACTCAATTACTTGAAGACTACTGTAGGGCAGAAAGGCAGATAGCGGCAAGCAAATCGGCCTCCACATGGCATGGTACCAATCTGAACAAAACTCTTTATCGTAGGAACTCATTAGCTTTCCCTTGTTCCCCAATTTTATCATTCAAAAGTAGAATAAGTGGCAATGGAAGTGATTCTAAACTTTGGTTCCGCTTTCTTTCAAGCTCGCGGAACGCCTTCTTACCTTGTTTCGCTCGCCATACCCAGCATCTTGGCAGCCACTGAGAGTTGGATGTGAATTGAGCGTTAGAATATGTAATTTCGAATAATCAGTAAGCTGAAACACCTGGCGGCAATAACAGACAAATCGAGAAAGGCAGCTTTAGCATGCAACATTCGAGCCTCCGCAAAGCTCTTAAAGTGCTCACGTAAAGACGAGGCGTTGAAGCTGCGATCTTTGTTTTAAGCATTGCAGCGCTGGAAGATACCCTTGCTGTTCAATTTAATGTTTTGTTTACTTCGATGTATATTTGAGCACACATGTGGAGGCGAAACCATTGAAAACACATTTGGTATTTCATAAAAGAAGCAAAACACTGCATTCTTGCTAGTATCGTAGCAATTAAGCATCATACTTCGCAGTCTCAGCCAATGCGCCCATGTGGCGATTTCGGCAATCTTTGCCGATCAGTAGTCAAAGACGCGAAGTGATATACTACCATGCTTTTTCTAGCTATAAATGTCCAAATTGGAGGCCACAATTAGTTCTCACTAGTGCCCACAATTGCTACTGGTGTCTACTTTTTTGTAGGGCAATAACCGGAACGCCCTGCAGACTTCGACACAGAAATACTGTCGTTGTTCTCTTCCAGCGGGAGAAAGCCTGAACTCTTTCAAAAAGGGCAACGGAGCGAAGCCGCAAGCTACACAAGTAAACACAGCGCTACAGGCACGATAAGGAAAAAAAACGAACCAAGTTTAACGCAAGAGGTAAATGTAGAGGTACACCGAATGTCTCAGCACTAAGAGATGGCCTGAGACTCGTCCGATGCATCCTCACGATCCTGGAAACAGGTGAGCCACGGTTGTATCAAAAGTGTGGTCCAGCCGTTCACAGGCTTTATCTTCTCCATCAATAGAACCCGTTAATCCACGGCAACTTAAGGAAGACGGGGCAGAAATAGGAGGTAAAAACAAACAGCGCTAAGCGTATGTGTCAATGTCCAACTCAGAGGGGCACATAGACTTATAGACCAGTCTGAGCACGGATCAGAGACTTGAAGTTGGTCTCGTCAAGGTATTGTTCGATATGAAAGTAGTGTAGAGATATACTCTAATGTGGAAGTGATATTGGCTTTTATATATGTATATGATACAGAAAACCTCAAACAGAGGGTAACCAAGCTTGTTGTTTAATGAAACTTACGCTTACATCAGGGCATCATCACTCAATTATCAATTGATGAATGAACCTTACCACACCATAAGCAGCATCATAGGACTGGATTGGATGTCAAACGCTAATGACAGTCTATCAATTACGTGGGTGCTGCATCTACTCAATTGGGTGACGTTCCCGTTGCTAAGTGGGGTGAAGAACGGTCGGGACTTCGCGATAGCTACTACGAGGTTGATCTATCAGTTGTCCTTGAAACCTGTTTTCAAACTATGCCATGCGTTTTTCTGGTCCCCAGCTACCATTTTGCTACGGAGCATGACAAAGTTAGCTCTGCTGCCGACAAATGTCCCGCTCATGTTCTTCTACAACACAACACTGGGCGAAATAAGCAAAGTTAATGTGCATTTGACGTACATCACCGTTATTCTTTGCATACAATACTTGATCACAATGATGTTTATCGGAATTCTGTTTGGTGTCTGGTGTGGTGTTGTTTTGGGTGTACTGCATAGATTGGTACGTATTCCGGACAAACGCGTGGATCTTTTTGGAGGTCTAACACATTGGCTGTTTCCTCACACGGCACATGAGGCAGATCGTACCAAGGTGACACCTGTATCGTGGCAACACGGCCAGGGGTTCACCCCTTCCCCGAATATCAGTCCTGAAACTCGAGTCAATCAATCTCATCGAAGAGTTTCACGGTCTTCTCGGGGCAGCGTATCAAACCTAGCCTCCAAACTTCCACGCGATTTCTTTCAAATGAAGGCGCCAAAAACGCCTCTTAGATCGGGGAACTTCAAATTCGATTCGTCGAGGCTCTCACCAATGAGCAACGATCTCGACGACGCAACGGCCTCTATGTCTTCGAATATGTGGGATACTACAGAAGAGCTACCAGAGACACTAAGAACGGAGTTTACTGCTCGAGGGGCAACGTTCCCGCGTCCTTCTTATGCTTCTGGTTTGGAACAGCCAAATTATACTCATCTAAAGCCACTTGATCGTAAAGAGCACCGAACAAATGTATGATCTCGGGAATCATGCGATTGATCCTAATAATGAATGTCAAGAAGATATAGTCTCATCCTCTTTAAGCTGCATAACTAATCAACTATCCAAAAGCGTAGATGCTGGTCTGGGGCCTCTGGGCGAGGTCGTAGCCCACGTAAAAAAACACTCACGGTGGGGGTCGAACCCACAATCTTCTGATTAGAAGTCAGACGCGTTGCCATTACGCCACGCAAGCTTTGTTGAGAGATAAATTGGAATTGTAACTACTATGCCAAGGCATAATGCAGATGACTTTGATAAAAACATCTCCGCTGTTGATTTGAACTACATTCATATCTGCTGGGGTATGTCCGGATACTAGATGCGATACATAGATGATAATAGCACGATCGCAAGTCAACCGGTCGTCTTTCATAGGACTGGTTAGATTCATAAGCTCTCAAAATTCATTAGCGGTCAAAGAGATGCCGACGAAGGAGCTGCCACTTGTTATCGCGCCGCGATCGTACACAGGCGCTGTAAGGGAGCAATTGTCTGGCCTCAAGTCGTGCTTCTACTTCAAGAAGGCTGAGATTGAGGTGCTGCCTACCCCTACTTCTTTCTATGAAACTCTGAAGAAGAAAATCTCTACTGCGAAGAACAGAATATTTCTAGCGTCACTTTACATTGGGACATCGCAGGAGGAGCTAATATCCTGCGTGTCGAGGGCCTTAGATAAGAACGAAAACTTACGCGTTTATTTCTTAGTGGATGGACTGCGAGGCACTAGAGAAGCTCCAAACAGCTGCTCAGCCTCTCTTCTATCAGAACTTGTGAGAAAACACCAAGACCGTGTGGACGTTCGTCTATATCGTACGCCAGAACTGACGAAAATTAAAGAAGCACTGATACCTAAAAGATTTAATGAAGGGATTGGACTCCAGCATATGAAAATATATGGTGTTGACAATGAGGTAATACTTTCGGGAGCCAACCTATCGAGCGACTATTTCACCAATCGGCAGGATAGATACTATCTGTTTAAATCCAGGCATTTTGCAAACTACTATTTTAAGCTGCATAGGCTCATTAGTCGCATGAGCTATCAGGTACATTATTCCGAAACAGCTCAAAAATTCAAAATGGTGTGGCCTAAAGAAAACTTGACAACCGAACCCCTTCTTGATAGAGGCCAGTTTCTAAAAGCTTGCTCTGAAGCTCTAAAAAACTTTCTTGTTGGATCTTCGAATCTGAGCCCACAACTCCCAATTTCGGAAAGCGGCGAACACCAGACCGCCGTCTACCCCATTTCTCAGTTTACACCATTGTTCAAGAATAGCGAGGATTACTCCACGGAAAAGCCCTCAATTCTCAAAATCCTTTCTTGTATTACGGACAAATCGATCAACTGGACCTTTACAGCTGGTTATTTCAATATGCTGCCGGAAATCAGAAGGCTCCTACTTCTTTCACCTTCCGAAGAAGGGAAGGTGATCACAGCATCCCCGCAAGCCAATGGGTTCTTTCAATCTAAAGGAATTTCAAGGCATTTACCTGGCGCGTACTTGCACTTGTCTCATAAATTTCTGCAAGACGTCAAAGACAGTGGAAAAGAGACGCAAATTACTTTGAATGAATGGAAAAAGGGAGTTGTGAACATGCCTGACGGCTGGTCATATCACGCGAAGGGCATTTGGTTGTCAGAAAATGATCCAACAGATTCAAGGCCAGCTGTAACAATCGTAGGTTCATCGAACTATACGCGAAGAGCATATTCTGCTGACTTGGAGTCTAATGTGGTAATAGTGACTAAGGACTCCGACCTCAAAGACGCCATGCAGGATGAAGTAAATCGTCTGATTGCCAACACAAAAGTCATCACTACACAAAATTTTGAAGAAGAGCATGATCGTCAAGTAAGCCTTGGTGTACGAGTCGCGACTAAAATAATTGGAAAGCGACTGTAACAACCGGAAACGCATTGTTTTTACACTACATGTACATATAAATTCGAAGCGTCAACGCAGATCAGAATTTAAAGTTTGTGTGATCTATTACAAAACTCTGAGAGCCAAGGAGTTTGCTGACGTGCCTGCTTTGTTCCGGTAAACCTTGTGAACTTGATATGACACGATGAGCAGAAAAATCAGATGAAGGGCAGGCTCATAAATTGGCTTTCCATTAAGTGGCGTGAAAGGGTGTGATCTCGCATGCGTACACATCTCGATCACAATTTGAATCACTGCGGACGCAATGCTCAGCAACATGAATTTGGAAGATAGCCCTTGCGTGCTCCTCCCCATAAAGTTGACGCTGACCTGAGGGACCAGGCGAACACCAGACAGCAAAGTAGCGAGAACCCACGAGTAATTGATATGCTCTAAATAATACACACCGAACCTTCCACTGTCTCTGCTAGGCAAGTTAAAGGACGCACAGGCGTGTGTAAAAACACAGAATATGAGGCATACGGCTAAAATGCTGATACAAATGTATGAAATGCTTTGATACTCACGTTTTGTCCTCCTATAATTAACGAGTTGCTTGATAATAGCGCCTGTGCTTATGAGATTCAGAAGGTCAGCCACGAGAATAGCCGTGGAGACTGGAATGTCTGCAACTTTTCGCTGAAAATATACAGGGAACCTCCGCACAAGCTGTTTGCGAACTAAACCTGAACACAAATAATTAAGCCCGCAGTACACGTTCAGTACATAAGACGCAAAGCTTAGTACGTACAGATCGTATGAGAGTCCACTAACTGATTTATGTAATCTATTATAACGTCTTTGATAAAGTATGGCAATGCACTGAGAAGGTTAGTTTGACAGCAACAGAATCACAAATTGACTTCGCGAACTTACGTTGAGAAACAGCGGGATAGAATGTAGAACTGACATAGTTAATGTGATATTTTCTTGTAGCTTTTGGGGAAATTTGGTGCTTTATTTATGAAGCGATCCGAAAAATAATTAATTCTTATATTCGTGTTGCCCAAACACACCTCTTCTTGAATCAATAGTCAGTCAAAGCAGCGTTCTTAGCAACCTCAGTCGCCATGGATCAGGTGGATAAGAAAGAACAGACAATTGCGATGGTCAACAAGTACAAGGCTATGTACCAAATGTATATGGATAGCCTAACTCCTCATGTGAAATACAGATGGTCCGCGCTTGGTATTGGTTTGGTGCTCTTTTTCCTTCGAGTCGCTTACGGCGAGGGTTGGTATGTAGTGTGCTACGGGCTAGGGATCTATTTACTGAACCAGTTTCTAAGCTTTTTGACGCCAAAGTTTGATGTCTCGCTGCAGCAAGATGAGGAGAATAACGAGCTAGAGTCTGGAGAGAGGGTGGATGAATTCAGACCGTTCATCAGAAGGCTACCGGAGTTCAAATTCTGGCACAACTCCATGAGAGCATTGGCGCTATGTTCTAGCTTGACTCTCTTCCGCATCTTTGATATCCCAGTTTTCTGGCCCATTCTCGTTATGTACTTTATCCTACTGTTCGCCTTGACCATGAGAAGGCAGATTCAGCACATGATAAAGTACAAGTACATTCCCCTTGATATCGGCAAGAAGAGATACGCTGCAAAAGAATGAGGACCTTACATTGAAGAGTATATTCACAAATTAGAAGTTGTGAAACCTGGAATCTGTGTCTACGCCCCAACTCAAAACCTTTAATTATATATATAGCTACAGCAATACACAATGGTCGTCCGTTTGATGTTGATGCTGATTATCTCCAGAACCTGACTTGGGCTTTTCGTTCACGAAGATCCGCTAAAGCTTTTTTCAAACTGGAAGACTATTAATTTAAGCAAAAAGATGTGTGAACCAAGAGTAAATGATAACTGACAACGCAGTAAAGAGGTCCTCAGGAAGCGCGCAATGAAACTTATTAGCCAAGTTAAAGGAAATGGCAATAACTCGGAACAGATCACATTGCTTCCTCAGGACAAAGAAGATCTCTTCAGCTTATACAATATCATAAACACTGACGACGAGCTGATCGTCAAAAAACTGGTAACTGACAAAGTCGACAGCGCAGGGAAAAAGAAAAACACCGAGCTTGTTAGATTACGATTGAAAGTTGTATCGTCCGAATTCGAACCCCAACATGAGTTTCTGAGGTATAAGGGGATCACCACAGAAGATGATAGTGGCAAAGCTAACATTGAGGTTCCAACAGGGAAGTTCTTTAGTTTCACGCTGAACTACAAATACCCTTTCACTCTGATCAAAGAGGACTACAATTCTTTTGTCGCAAAGCAGCTCAAGGATGCCTGCAATCCGGAAAGTCGTTCGGATATTGCCGCCGTTTGCCTGCAAGAAGGAATTTCTCATATATGCTTGCTGAGTAGTTTCAGCACGATTATAAAAAACAAAATTGAATATAGCCTGCCGAAGAAGAAAAGAAGCACCGATGTGGCTAAATTTGATGAAAAGGTTGAAAAGTTCTACAAAGGAACTTATGAGTCTATGAAAAGGCATTTCGAGTTCGAGAAGCTGAAAGTAATCATACTGTGCTCCCCTGGATTTTACGCTAAAACACTGTTCGGTAAAATAATGCAATACGCGCAGGAAGAACAAAACAAGCTTATTCTGAGCTCGAAGTCGAGATTTTTGGTGGCTCGTTGTTCCACGGGATACTTGCAGGGAATAAATGAGGTTTTGAAAAATCCAGCTTATGCTTCGAAACTCCAAGATGCAAGAAATTCAAAAGAGGCTCTAATAATGGACGAGTTCTTGCAACATCTGAACAATGATGACTTCAAAGCGTGGTACGGCGAAGCAGAGGTATTGAAAGCTTCAGAAATGTGTGCAATCGACACACTTTTGATTACGGATGGATTGTTACGCGCTGATGACGTAAAAATCAGAAGAAGAAATGTCAATCTCACTGAAGCTGTGGAGCAATCCGGTGGCACCGTGTACGTTTTCAGCTCTTTACATAGTTCTGGTGAAGAGTTGGAAAAGCTCACAGGGCTTGCTTGCATTTTGAAATTTCCAGTTCCAGACCTCGACGAGGACTTGGAATCTGATTTCGACTCCCATCCATAGACGAATAATTTGTAGCAAAGAGAGACTTAAATGTTTATCATAGATTGTTGGTAACCGAACAAGGCCTAAAGTACCATTCGTATCTGAAGCTAAAGATGCCTGTGAGCTTGAACCCAAGCAGCAGCTAAAACAAAAAAAAAATAAAAAATAAATCCCTAAAAAATAAATGTTTTTTTCTATTCACGTGGTGCTTAAAGCATAAATTATTTCAAATTAACTTTTATATTGTTTTTAATTACAGTAATATCTTTTAAACGTTATATAAATTGTGTATTTAAAGCTGGTTTTGTTTTCCGAACGGCTATTGTATGTTGTTAACTGATATTTTTACTTTGATTTTTCTGGACGTATATCGTATTTAGTTACTTGTATCAAACTTTTGTGAGTTCAGTTGAACCAAAAGTGTCGCTATAATTCATATGACAACGTACTTGGTTGACTGCCTCACAATCAATGTCTGATTTTATTTCAACTCGCTTCATTTTCTGGGTTTACATTGGCGTTTGTCTATATATGTCTGAGAGCACTCGAAAAAAAACTAAAATCATAAACCTCTTTCTTTTAGCGTTGCTGAAGCATGGTAGAAGATGTTTGAGACATATGTGCTGCCGACGCACGACTAGTAGCGTTTTCCTTCAACGCTATTAGCTGCCGAGACCGGAATCCCTCATAATGAACGAGAGCAGTCGTCTCAATCAAATCCTGGAGATGAGTTCTGATCAGAAATTCCCTTAGAAAGACAAATTCGCACTGGTTGATGTCTTCTACTGCAATAGCCCCCCACCGAGTCTTTCTTCCTCTAACAAGTTCACCGTTAATCGAGATCTCTTTTTCGGATCCGACGATAGCAAACGGAATGATGGACCTTATACTCTCATTCAACTCGACTTCTTCGTCAGTTAAGTCGTCCGATTGGTAAGGATATATTTTAAAATTGAAGCGTTCAAACTGCTGCTGAATGATTTCGCGGAAAGCAGTTCTCTCATCCATCGTCAAGGCATCGGCCTTTGCAATGACCGGAATAACGTTGGCTATCTCTGTTAGTCTCCTCAGTGAAGAGATATCAAGAGGTGTCAAACCCTTGCCATTAGGCTGGATGAAGTATAGCACGGCATGAACTCTTGTGTCCGGAATGAGCCTTTCGCGTTGAGCAGTGAGCTCCCGGCGCAGATACTGAGAGTGCTGCTCCTTGATATATTTCACAATCGGATCACAAACTTTTTCATTGTTTATCTGATCTCCAAATCCAGGTGTGTCGATCACATTGATGTTTAGGCGCACCCTGTCCTCTACTAAAGAATGCGTCGAAACTTTGATCTCAGTGGTCTTTGTGATAGGGTCCTTGGATATATCACGGCCTGTTGCGGGATCGACCAAATGTGAAGCAAACAAAGTGTTGATCAGTGTACTTTTTCCGAGTCCTGAATGGCCAACAACCATGATATTGAATTGAAAGCCCTTTTTCAACAAACGGTGCTCAATTTGGCTTGTGATAGTGTCGAACCCGACATAACCACTTGGCGTCACGTAAGAACGGTCTACTGCTGAGTTTATGGACATCGGTGGTGAGTTCTGAGCAGCTTCAAGTGTTCTCCTGTTGTCGCAGATCAAAGCTTTGGAAGTTTTATGTCCCCATCAATAACAGACCCAAATCTCACTTGAAAAATAGATCGCTCGTTATATATGATCTAAAATTTTTAGAATAATGAGGTAGTTGAAATTTCATAAGGTAAGCGTTACTGAGCGCCAAAGATCATAATTGACCACTAAAAGCCAGCACAGGTGCACGCTAATGACCGCTCTTTCATTTCTGAGCAAACGATCTGTCGCATGGAAGCCCTTGCTTACAAGCTGGACTGCTGCACTGCAAGTGGCTTTGAATCCGCGGGCTCTTCCTCATATGTTGCAGGAGCTCTTCGGCAAGAACGCAAGAGAATCAGAACATAACGTCAACGAGGTTCTCGCCGATAATGGAATCTTGTTAGCCGTTCCGAAAAAGAAGGTTTCACATCAAAAGAAGAGGCAAAAACTATACGGTCCTGGCAGAAAACAATTACAAATGATACACCACCTCAATCGTTGTTCTTCATGCGGACATTTTAAGAGAGCAAATACCCTGTGCATGCATTGCGTGGGAGAAATTCGCCACATTTGGAAAAGTCACACAGCCAAGGAGATTTCTGAGCCGCAGCAAGAACTAGAGCTGTCAGAATTGGACAAGAGGGTTCTGTATCCTGGTAAGAAGGAAACGGACTACGCCAAAAAGCTCAAAGAGAAGGACACTTATCTGGAGCGTCGCATGCGAACTCTTCCTGTGAACAAGGCTAAGTATGACGTCGAGTAACACTAGCGTAAATTAAGGTCCAAAATATTGATTGATCGAGTTTTGGAGTGCTTGTAAATAAGTTTAAAGGGCAAAAAAAGAATTCATGAACATAAAGCTTTGTGCCGTAGCTGTCCCCAAAAGGTACTATATTTCGATTTTTGGGTTAGAATTCTCTCTACAGTAAGTAGAATAGCGCATGTATCGATATTATTTTTTTGTTTTTTTAAAATAATAACTTCCCAAGAGTATTCGAAAAGTCATCAAGTAGAAGTGTTCAAAGCGGCAATAGCGCTACTTGATAGAAAGCGCCTAGAAGAGGCCAGATGTTGAACAGTTACCGCGTGAATGCTCACACATTTGCGCCAAGTCATCCTTTGGGAGTCAAACCGTCGGGAAATGCATTTTTGGAAGAAAACAGAGCCGAATTGGTGAAACAGAGAGTAAAGGTGCTCGGCAGACTCGGTGGTTTGAGCGAAGAGGTCTTGACATACATCATATCACTCGTCGATGATCCTAAAGATTTGCTTAGTCTAGGGCATGCATCCAGAGTACTTTACGCATACACCTACAGTGAGGAACTATGGAGAAAGCTCTACGTTGACGAATTCATTCTTCTGGAGGAGGACAAAAAGGATTCAAGAGAGAAAGTTCACCCATTTGGTTGCAAAATATGGATGGGAAGCTGGCGAAAAACTGTACTACATTTAGAGACCGAGGCTTTAATCAAAACTAATGATTTACTATTTTCAGACTATTTGTACAGACCATACCAATGCTCTCAAATAGATTTTGAGCATTTATTCCGGAAAGTCATCAATATTGAAAAGAAGTCTAGAGGGCAGGGCGACGCTTTGAGTGGTTTCGGGGCTGAAAGGATCGACGAGGAAGCGCTAACATTGAATGACTTCGAAGGAAAGTATGTCAATAAGCCGTTTATTTTACAGAACAAAAAAGTGAATAATAGGTGGCCGGGGTGGACCTTAGAAAGTCTTTTGGAGCGATTTGGCTCTGTAAGCTTTCGGCAAGAATCTGTGAAATGGTCTTTATCTTTTTACGCAGACTATTTCCGGCAGAACTGTGACGAGTCTCCTCTTTATCTTTTTGATTGCAATAGCGAAGCAATTCGACAGATACAGAATGAATACGAGGGACCAAAGATCTTCCAGAAAGATTTTTTTAAGGTTTTTCAAGAGGGAGATATTCGCTGCAGGCCCGATCATCGATGGCTGATTGTCGGTCCTCGGGGCAGCGGTTCAACATTTCATAAAGATCCCAATCAAACATGTGCGTGGAACGCAGTATTATCGGGTCAGAAGCTGTGGATTATGTTACCGCCTGACGTTAAACCCCCTGGTGTTTCTACTGATATCAATGAGGAAGAAGTAACATCTCCTGTAGGTGTCGCTGAATGGGTTTTGTCGGGGTTTTACAATGATGCTGTGAGATTGGCCGAAGATGGCAAGTGTGTTATTACAGTAACATTTCCTGGCGACTGCATTTATGTACCTTCGGGTTGGTGGCACACCGTCATCAATCTTACGGATTCAGTTGCTCTTACGGAAAATTTCGTGCCCCGCCCCACTCTACCTAAGACCCTCCACTTTTTCAATCATAAGAGATCACAGATTTCAGGCTTTCATTTGAGAGATACTTTGAGTTCAACAGCGCAGTTTTTAAAAACTAACGAAGCGACAGACGACGAAAAGTCTCGATCGAACTTCGAGAAGCTGGAGCACTTTCTGTCAAAATACGGAGGCTCAAAAATTGATAACAAAGATTGCGGTCTTTCTGAAACAAACGCAGACTTGCCGATCTACGAATTTTTCGTCGAAATTTTGAGAGCTTCAAAAAATGTTGCCGCCAAACTAATCGACGCATTGGAAAAGAGCAGCTTGCTGGAACTAGAAGCGGCAAAAGAAAAGCAAAGGTCGAAAGTTCATGTTCTTAAGGCATCAGAGACTTGGACAAGTTTAGCAGCCGAATCAAGCTCTGGCTTTAGTTTCGGCTTCGCAGTAGAATAATCATACAGTAAAGCTTATTCAGGATATACTTTTTACTAATGTTATAGAATTACACCGGACTAGAAAATGCCAGTATAGGGCAAAATCAAAGTCTCGACTAGAAGGATGGGTAATTAGAATCACATCACCACACAGCAGCCATCGCTCTTTTTGTCCGAGCCCTTTTTCTCGGCGGGAGCAGTTGACTGCGTTGTTCTTTGGAGTGCCGTCTTTTTTTCGTCCGAAGAGGCCTGTGCCCGAGCGGTCTTCCTAGTGCTTGAGAGGTGGAAATGTTGGGCAGTTTCGTAGAATTCTTTTCCTTGCGCCACTGCCATTCTCAACTCCAAGTCACTTGGCATACGGGATCCGTCACCACCAGCCAGGGTGCCAGCACCCCAAGCAGAACCACCGTGGATCTCCTCCACGTTAGAGAGCTCGGCGAATGTATTCTTGTAGCCCAAAGGAACGAAAATCAACCCGTGGTGGACTAAGTACGACATGCAGGTCTTGATGGTCAGTTCCTGGCCACCGCCATAGCTACCGGTCGAAACGAATACACCTGCTGGCTTACCGTGCAAGGCCCCTTTAACCCATAATCCACCGGTTTTGTCCCAGAAGGCTGACCACTGGGCAGGAACATTGCCATATCTGGTGGGAACGCCAAACAAAAACGCGTCGTATTCTTCCAAGGTTTGTGCCGTAGCCACTGGAATGTCAGATTTTTCTGGAGCATGCATTTTTTCAAGCACTTCATCAGGCAGAGTTTCCTCAACCCTGAATAGATCTGCCTTCCCCCCAGCTGACTCAATTCCTTTCAAAATGGACTTAGCCAAAATGTCTACGTGGCCGTACAGCGAGTACGTGATAATTGCAATCTTGACCATGGTGTAGCTCGATCAATTGGGTTGTTTTTCTGTTTCTGTCGACGTTGTTGAAGAAAGCGCTAGTGCTACGTGTGATAAAGGGTTTTAAAATAGTTGGGTTTTATATGTTTTTATAGTAAAAAAGGGACTGCGACCCTCAATATATGTAATTACTCGAAATTTCACGAAAGATGGAAAAAATAAGATATTAAAATATTAGTATTATTTTAGTAATATTACTAGGCTGTTGATGGTTAATTGTCAGAGAGAAATCGGTGCTGTGAGAGCATGAGTTTTACAAATTGCGCTTTGTCACGAACGCAATGTCTGTAAACCTCGACACTTGAGATATCTGCATGAGCTCAGTTTGAAAGAATTAATGATTATGTATAAAATCACAGCATTCATTGACGTGGGTGCCGTAGCAGCGCTGAGGACATCTTCTTTCTCCTGATTAACACTGTGTTGGCCAGAGGGTAACGTGTCGTTCGCGCCTCGCTCGTCAATCTTTTGGCCGCAATGTGTGGACGTAAAATCATGTATCTGTGAAGTCACCTTAGCAGTTAATACCGTGAATTGTTGAGTGCGTATGTATGGTACAAATAGTATGTTGATCATGAATCATGGGAGAAATAATCATTTCTCAGCATTTATAGCGTCAGCGAGTTTATTTTTTAGCATTGATAGCGTTGACAAGTTGAACGTATTTCTCAGTAGAGAATGACTTGGGTCTCTCAATGGGCTGACCAACGGCTCTGTCGATGATCAATTGGGCCAGAACACCCAGCGCTCTGGACACACCAAACAACACGGTGTAGAAAGAAGCCTCGGTCAAACCGTAGTATTGCAATAGGATACCAGAGTGCGAGTCCACGTTTGGCCATGGGTTCTTGGTCTTACCGTGCTTTGTCAATACCTCGGGGGCGACCTCGTATATCGTGGAAACTAGCTTGAATAGATCGTAGTCAGGGAAATGCCTTAGGGCAAACTCACGTTGGGCAGTGTAACGAGGATCTGTCTTACGCAAAACGGCGTGACCGTAACCGGGAACGACTCTGCCTGCGTTTAGGGTTTCCCATAGATAGTTTTCGATTGTCTTCTTCGAGTAATCGCCCTTGACCTCTTCTCTGAGCTTGAACAACCATTCCAAGACTTCTTGGTTGGCGCGACCGTGTAGAGGGCCAGCTAGACCGCCTAGACCAGCGGAGAAGGACAAATATGGGGACGACAAAGCCGAACCGACCAAATGGGTAGTGTGAGCAGAGACGTTGCCACCCTCGTGGTCGGCGTGGATTGTCAGGTACAGTCTCATCAGCTCGACGAACTCCTCGTTTTGGAAGCCCAGTAGCTGAGCCAAGTTCTTACCAAAGTCAGCGTTGGGGTCCACAGCGGGCATTTTGCCGTCTTTGAAGACGTTGCGGTAAATCTTAGAAGCGATGACGGGCAGCTTACCGATCAAGTCTAGGGAGTCTTCGAAGGTGTAATTCCAGTAGTCCTTTTTGGATACACCCTGGGCATAGGCCTTAGCGAACTTAGATTCACTTTCCAAGGCTGTCACTGCGATCGAGAATTGGGCCATTGGGTGCAGGTCCTTGGGCAACGAGTCCAGCAGTTGAGACACGTGCTCTGGTAGTTCGGATCTTGAGGCAAGGTCTGCAGAGAGTGCTTTGACTTGGGACTCCGTGGGCGCCTCTCCGGTCAGCAACAGCCAGAACAGTGCTTCTGGGAGTGGCTCGGTGCCGCCTGCGCCCTTGGGAAGCTCTTTTTGAATGTCAGGAATGGTGCGGTTTCTGAAGCGAATACCTTCTTCTGGGTCCAGCACGGAACCCTCCCACACGAGACCTTTGATACCACGCATACCACCGTATGCCTGTTCCAGGAGCACCTCACCAATCACTGTTTTGCCGTGTTCCTTACGCAGCTGTTTGATCTGCTCAGCCTTGGCTGGAAACAGCTCAGCAAAACGCTCCTTCAGCGTTTTTTCGCCGTTACTGTAATAGCGAGCGGCACTGAGACCAGCTATCGTTGCCGTCTTGCTGCTGGAGGCTGACTGCTGTAGCAGACCGCGTGCCAGCGTGTTTCTGGAAGACGCTAGAATTGACATTTTCTACAATGAAAGTGAATTAGAGGCTGAAGTTTCTTGATTGAAGTTCGCGATGCCAATTGCAAACTCTACTTTGAGATGTTGCGAGGGAAGTAGATAAATACACGCAATCAGTACGCGTTATGAGGCAGCTAATAGCTCTGTGGTGCAAAAGCTAGATGTCCTAACCATCTTTGTCCAGTGTCCCCATTTATATACTTCTGTCCGTGCTCGGTTCCGCAAGGTCACGACTCTCTCTGCTTACCTAACTTACTGCTGGCGGGAAGTCATTGCTGTCACGCTTTTCTGCTCGCTTGTGTTCAGGATCCGATATCGAAATTGTGCGTGACCTTGGACTGTTGTCATTCGCAGAGACCGCCAGCGATAAGGAGCTGAACGACGAAGCATGAGAACGGTGTACGAGCAGCCGTAGAGCGATGCGAGTAGAGTCGAGTAATAATTTCAGAACTACAGGTGGACGGAGAGCGTTATGCCGGTTGTTTTAGTTCGAAGAAGCATACAACAATATCACCACGAACGAAAAATGAAATTTGATTTAGCCAAAAAATTAAAATCGGGGCGAGCCGGGACTCGAACCCGGGACCTCCCGCACCCTAAGCGGAAATCATACCTCTAGACCACACGCCCTGTGTTTTTAGATGTCTGACAGAAGTCTGGCGTGCCAAATAAGCAGACACGGAGACCCAGGATTCGATACGCTGGAGTTTCTCATGAAGTTACCTTCATGTAGTAAATAGCTGACAGAAGAACTAGACACTGGTCTGGCACATTAGAGCAGAAGTGGGATGGTTATCTGGGCATCAAGGATGTGATCGGTCGAGACGTGGGGGTAGGACTCACGAGCTGCGCGTAACAGTGTGGTCTATTGTGTTTGGGGCTTACTATTTCACACGTGCATGCCACCCCGCTCACGCCGGCCGAGAAAGCTCATATCTGAAGGCGTCGTCTCAACACGAACTATCCGCCTGAATTCCGCCAAGTTTTTTCGATGCTGTTACTGGTTTCCAAGATATATTACCACCAGTCGTGAGTGAAGGAGGAAAAAAAAGAATAATGCGCCTGCTCGAGACGAGAACGTTCGCGTCCGTCTCCTACGTCATGCGTGGTTGGTGGGTATGTGGTGTTGTCTTGTCTGGTTGTCTGCTTGTCACTTGTCATCTCGTTTGTTTGTCAGTTGCCTAACGAAGGGCTGTCTTGTCTGTCATATGATGTAGCGCGATGAGGTGAGCGGTGAACGGCAAACTCAACAGGGAGGAAACCTCAAGCTAAAACGATTTCCCAGCTCTTAGTGGTGGAAACGTAGCATAGCAGGTAGGCCAGTTTCTCTTAAAGAGAACGTGGCGAAACCTTGTAGATTGAGTGCAAATTAAGCTCTTCCGTGGCGGTGAAACCCCTCGCCGGCCACTATTCGAATCCCGCGTTTGACTTCTTTTTAAGCCCTCTTTTTTTAGCTAAGTATTAGCTCATCTTACAAAAATTTCCTGGCTTGTTCAAACCGGCGGTGCCGTATCAGCTGCGTTTTCCACTCAAATTTCGTAAAAATCATCAGTAGAAAAAACGAGGAAATTGGACTATGTAAGACCGGCGATGGGGAAAATCGGAGGGCATCGAGTGGCGGCGAGACCTCATCAACTTCATACATAAGTCTCAAGTTAAACTTGGGAGTATTGGGATACTTACCTGGTGGCGTTCCAGTACGTAAGAGCCAGTAAAGGAGGGTTTAATCCAGCCAGCGGAGTGTAACGCGGAGGGACCCTCTGTGAAACTTGACTTCACACAGCGCGAGCGTGATAGTCGGAAAAAAGCGGTATCGTTGCGTTTGTAATTCCAGAGCGCTTGAGCTTTCGTTCGCCGATTTCGGTGTACATCAAGACCCTAGCTGTGCGAGTCCTATAAGAACGGGACTTTGACAAACGAGTCAGAGCCAGAGCCAGCCCTTCCACAGCGGCCAAGACAAGGACAGCAAAACCGCAGTATTTTGCGAGGCCACAACAGGATTAAAAAAAACAAGCAGCAGAAACACTCCAGCATCACGTATGGCTTTGTCCTCGGTGGAGACCGCACCGGTCAAAAATCGCAAGACCGCGTTGTCGTCCAAAATCGGCAAAATATTTGGGTCGGGAAAAGCCTCGTGTTCGGTGGGGCACTCATCTGGCGACGAGTCTCCAGCCAAGCAGGTGCAGATACCCTCTCCCACCAACTCCTCATTGTCGCTAGACAGCACTCACAATAAAGCTTTGCATCTTTCGGACGCCTCAAGCCCCAACTCACCAGCGGCGTCGCTTAACGGGCGTGCGTTCCAGACTGCAGCCAACGAAGACTATTCTCTCACCTCCTCCAAATCACGGTCCGAGAATGTTGAGCAGCGCACCGTAAGTTCAGTGAACATTGCCGCCATGGCCTCAGCTGGGTCAGGGCGATTTGTTGTGCTTGAGAATAACGCTCACGAGCACCACTTGAAAAATGCTAAACGTCAGGAAAAACTCAGCAGTATGATCAAAAATATTCTGGGCGCGCAGAAGCTGCGAGGCGAAGCAAAGTCAGCTGTACCTGACATCCTGATGAATAAAAAAATTCAACGCAACACTCCGGATGATCCGCCTTCTCTGTTCTCAGGTTTTGTGAAACAGGCCACATCTTTCGAACAAGATCAGGTCTACAGTGGAGCTTCTCAAACCCCGAAAAAGTTCTACAAAAGTCAGGGCGGGAGAAATGAGATCAAGGGTCCTGTCGGTGGAACTATTCCTGCGTTGAAGGAAAACTCCATTTGTTTTGCTGAAAAGTATGGTCGGTGCCAAGAAGTTGTTGGCAAAGGTGCTTTCGGGGTCGTGAGAATATGTCACAAGAAGGCACCAGATGAAATTAACGGTGAGAAGCTTTATGCCGTAAAGGAATTCAAAAGGAGACCGGCCGAGTCGCCCGAGAAGTACTCGAGAAGACTGACTTCTGAATTTTGCATCTCATCTTCTTTGAAACACACTAATATTATAATGCCACTCGACTTATTTCAAGATGCGAAGGGCGACTACTGCCAGGTGATGGAATACTGTCATGGTGGTGACTTGTTCACTTTGATTATTGCTGCTGGCAAGTTAGAGTATATGGAAGCCGACTGCTTTTTTAAGCAGCTGATACGAGGCGTGGTTTACATGCATGACATGGGTGTATGTCACCGGGACCTCAAGCCAGAGAACCTTTTACTGACGTCAAATGGCGCATTAAAGATCACTGATTTTGGTAATGGGGAATGCTTCCGCATGGCTTGGGAAAAAGATATCCACTTGAGTGGTGGAGTGTGCGGCTCAAGTCCCTATATTGCGCCAGAAGAATATACTCACGAAGAATTTGATCCTCGGCCAGTTGACATCTGGGCTTGTGGCGTCATATACATGGCTATGAGAACTGGTCGCCAATTGTGGAGCACAGCAACAAAGGAGGACGAATTTTACACAAAATACCTCACAGGAAGAAAGGATGAGGCTGGTTACGAACCAATCGAAACCTTGAAGAGAGCGCGCTGCCGCAATGTTATTTATTCAATTCTTGATCCAGTCCCCAGCAGAAGAATTAGTGGTAGACAGATTCTGAACAGCGAATGGGGCCGAGAGATAAAGTGCTGTCACGAAGGACAGCCTCTGAAGGGATGATGGCCATCATTATTCCGAATTTTGCATGCATTCCAGAACACGAATTCTGGACCTCGAGAAAATTGTTGTATCTAATCTTGTGTATTATATCGAAGCACCCAAGAAGCCTTTCAATAGCTCACGTAAAGCTGTTGAACGATGTAGAGCAGTTACACCCTATAGTTGGCCCGTAGCAGATATTGATCTCCGAAGAGCAGCTATTTCTGACAAGCGCTTACGTTTTTACGTTTTGGCAACAGCGGCCTTTCTTTGTTAAAATTGAATATATAATGGTCTTTCAAGAATGAAAGCCTTCAAAGTTGACCATAGTTTATCGAGATTTTTTTCTCGTTGAGGCGTTGCCTCCTTTTATTTACAAATTTAAGCCCTGATTCCTCTTCGTTTGACCCCACCCCTTCTGGTGCCATGATAGACTCTTCGTGTCCCAAGTAAAATAGTTTCATTACGTTACCAAATGAAGCTACCATTGACTTGGCGCCAAACTTTTCAAAAGGACCAATTCTGTTTGTTAAAAGACCATTTACGCCTACAGGAATCTTATAGTAGGTTACCTGCCCATTGACCGTCATGGTCCAACCCTCCCAAATATCGTGGATGTTGTATTCTGCAGATTTTGACGGTTTCATGCTCCGACTTTCGAGCCTTCCCCTCAATCTCAATTCACCTGCTTTCACGTCCTCAGAAGCACTTCTCATCATTGACTTGGACTCTGACGTTGCTGATCGGTCTTTCTCCTTCCTTTTCAGACCAATAATGACGTTGTTATCCGTTGCATCCCACTTGTCGATATCTGGAAGAAAGTACTTTCTTTCGACAACCGACTCAAGCCCAAGACAGCGAATTTCTCTAGGATCTCTTTCTACACGTAGGCAAATGCTGGTTTTAGTTCGGCTCTCTAGTTTGAAGGTGCTCAAGACCAGATTAGACGTGTAACGCTCCGTGTAAGCGATAGAAAGAGTAGCCACTGACGCACTTCCGCAGAATTTACAGTGCGTTGGTTGGTCATGAAATATGCGTAGCGAGCCTGGCATGAAATTTGCAAGTTTGAAAGTTTTGATCACCGTCCCTGTCTGGGCATCTACCAAATCAGCTTCGTTCTCTCTTGCTAGTAAAAGCATACCGACAAATGGTACAAGAAGTGTGGCTTTAATGTCCTTCACTGACGGTTGTTCCTGTTCAGCATTCTGCTCACCTTCTTGATGAATGTGACGCATCAAAGTTGCAGGCGTCATGAGCTTTTGGCCTCTGTTAAACGCGTTCCGAATTAAAACAAGCTTTCTTGGTCTCCACTTGTTGTTCACAACTGTGGAAATATAAATATCACCTTGTTTGTCGCATATGATGAGCCGATCATTGACTCTTGGAGTGGTCAACTTTTTGCAAGATACAAGTGGACTTGCAGAGTTGGTGACTTGAAAATTTGTTACTTTACCCACCACATCAATATTATAAATAGTTCCACAGGCGGTCACAAAAACAAGCTCAATGTCCTCCTCTTCTGTTGTATCCGGGAGAGACTTAGTGTCTCCATATTGAGAAACAAAAGCAGGAGCGGCCGAAGATGCTGATTTCAATGATGAAATCGAGGCTGTACTGTCGCGTCTTCTCATAGAACTCGCGAGGAGGTCTTTTTTTCCCTGATGTTTAGCAGTGGAAGTAATGCGCTTTTTAAGAAACGCGGGCGTAGTTCTTGTTCGAAAGAATGACTCAAGAAGGTCATTGTTTTTGAAGTCAACTTTCGTAGACCAAATGAAACTAAAACTCTTCCTTGACCAGCATGATATGCGTCCCGATTTACCAAACACGGCAGTGAAATTGCCGTTGAAGCTTGTAACAACTCTGAGCACAGGCCACATCTGCCTATTTAGGGGAATTTCAGTGGGTATTGGTGCAGGGTGTGATAGAGGTGACCATATCAAAAGTTTGCGGTCCATACCAATAGAGAATATAAATGGCGAATCTGAGGTTGAAATGCTCATGATGTCCAAAGTATGCCCACCAAGCGACAGTTCCTTAGTATGAAAAGAGGAGCCGCTCGTATGGCTCGGAGCCAGAGAGTCTTGCGCCGTGAGTAATTTGGCATCATATTCCGAAGCCCTGTGCTCATTTAGTTGGGGCCAAGCTTGTAATTTATCGAGGAGCGTCTGAACCATCAATACCGCAATTGAAGAGATGAGTACTACCATGACACTGAACTCGAAAAAGAAGTACAGGTCGAACTTGTAAGAAGACACAAGTGGCTGAAATGCGCTAACAACGTCATTGCGATAGTTTTTGAACTCCTCTAAGCCGGTTTTCAGAACAAGAATCCTGTCATCTGATGACTTTGAAATGTAATATGTTCCAGTTCCGTGATTAGCTAGTACTAATTTCAAGATAGAGTCCATTTCAACCAAGGGCACTAAACTTGATGATTTAAAAGGATCCATGATCGAGAATTGTCCATGTAGTACTTTGTATATTAGTGACGATGAAGTCCGGACTAGTCGATACCTCAGATTGACGATGTACTGGAAGATCATAAGTACTGTAATACAATGTGAGAAAATCGATACATGACCATCGAGAATTGAACTGAGATAGGACTTCATGCTTGGCTCATTGAAAAGTGTGCTATGATCATCCAGATATTGAGAGACATTGTGGTCACCGCCATCCTGAAAGAGGCGCTCACTTCTCTTCAACCGTTGGTAGTCTGAACTCAATATTGCGGTGAACGCCGTAACCTGAACGAGCAAGCAGCTTAGAAATGCAACTGACAAAAAAAAGCTGGTGCGCCTATTGAAAGGAAACAAAAGTATACTCAATAGTAAGCTCGTTATGACTGTCTTGAAAAGTGAAATACTAGCTTTGACTGAAGCATCGACGTAACTTTTCGTTGAGGCGTGGCCGGTGTCAGAATCTGTCTCAGATGACAGCAAGAGAGGACTTTGTGTTAATGCTGAGCCAGCGGTCTCTGAGAGTCTTTCGAGCAGTCCGCTTGAGGAGATTAATAGTACGGGGAACCACATCGAAAAGAATGGGATACTGCCTTCAGTTTTTCCAAAGAGGAGCACAGTCAGTGTATTGGATGCTGCAACACTGAGCACTATTTGGGCAACTATTGCCACAGACATCCCCAGTTTAGAATTCACCTTGGCGACAACGTTATACTTTTGGTAAAATTGCAGAAAACTTAACAGAAGAATAAGTACACCCATCAAAATGTCTCCAGCTGTCACTGACTGAATGTCCAGTTTGAGTACACCTTCGAAAGTACTTTCGTGGTCTTTCGCATCTGACGTAAAAACCTGATAGCCTGTTACGTTCGCGATACCACTTAGTTCTGCAACATTCTCTTGAAGTTGTGATCTCAAGGAAAGCTGCTTCTCGGCTGGCGCCAAAATGTTCACGACAAGCGTCTCGGCGGAAGTGAAAAATCCATTGACTTTCAATGCGTTTCTTAACAAGCTATGAGGGATTTCGTCTATCTTAGAGTTGAGGGTTTTCAGCGGGTATGGGTCTCTGTATAGAAGATCGACGGAGTTGTTCCACGACTGAAATGGTGTTTGCACTGTATCAACATCGTGCTCTGCAAGCACGCCTCGGACAAGCTTGTTCTGAATCGCTAGCGACTCAAGCAGCGACGACTTCCCAAGAATATTTTCCTTTGGTGCCTGTGATATCCATATCTGTGTCAGTGAGAAGTTCGACGAGGACCCCGTGCCTTGTGTCTGTACATCAATCTTACTCAGGTAGTGATTCGAAAAGCCTTTGTCCTGCCATATGCACGCCAGTGTGGGACATGCAATGATGAAGAGAGTTATGAAAGGAATCAGTATCGCCAGTAGCGGATGTCGCACCGCCCAGAGGGAAAGCTTGTACAGATGTTGATGTAGAATATAGGTTGTTCGCCGCGAAAAGACCATAATTTCAGACAGTAATGAAGGAAAATCAAGGGCAATGTTCAGATGGATATGAGTATATTCATGAAAATAGCCCGTTGGGCACCCAAGTCTGATTTTGGGGGCTATTACTCAAGCGTAAGTAAAAGTCGTTACTTCAGTTTACTCTCTGCATTTAGGTCGTCTTTTTCTTCCGTCTCAGGACTCGCATATCACGTGCCTGATCTGAGGACATCTGCTTTAATAGAGAAGATAAAGGTAAAGGTAAAGGAGAAGATGTAAAAACCAATTTGAACTGAATTGAACGCTTGATAGTTCGTTGATATAAAGCCTCATCTACTGGCGTAGTCTGTACGCTTCCTAGAATCCTATCTAAAAAACTGTTTTGTGCAGTTCTTCGACAGACCATGTGATCATCGCCGATGGCGATGAGCTCCGCCGTATGCAGGTGCAACGGCTTTCATGAGGGCGAATATGCAATACAAGACCAACGTGGACACATGGCATTGGGAAATAGATACATGAATATACAAGAAATGCGCCTCTGTACGACCTTGAATCAGTTCGAATTACGGTGCCGAGCGCAGTGCACAGTATCATTGCACGCATTAGCTGCATATTCCTCTCTACTTCTATCTTGTCGAAAGAGGGCATACTCTCCGGTCAGCAGGTTCTTTTTGCTTGGCTTATTATCAAAAATCCTTCCCAACTTCCAACAAATGGGCGTGTGGCGTAGTTGGTAGCGCGCTCCCTTAGCATGGGAGAGGTCATCGGTTCGACTCCGGTCTCGTCCAATTTTTGCACCTTTTTCAAACGTTAAGCTGTGTATCGTTATTGAGGGCAATTCGATTTTTTGACATGCGAATTAGTATCTATGCGAAAGCTCCTTTACCCACTTTTCAATTTGAGCTTCCAAAGCAGCAGCTTGCGCTTATTTACCAGTATATGACTATATCGGGCAACCATCATGGTTTCTTCAAGTTCTTGGAGAGTTTTGCTGATCCTTTGATATGCCGACGAATAAAAGGCAGTGAGCAGCCTAGGTGTTTTGAAGGAAACAATTAAAAAGTCAGCTATATTCACTTGAAGCCAAGGGCACAGATGTTGAGATTATTCATTTGCTGAAGAAGTTCCGCAATTTTCTCGTCTAGCTGGCCATTAGCATAATCGTCTCTGGATTGCTGGTCAAGGTACTGCTGAATTTGGGCAAGTCGTGTATAACCTTCAGTGCAAAATCGAAGCTGTATTTTAACGAGAGCTTCAAAACTGGGATCGTAGTAGGGCACTCTCAAAGACACCAGCTGCGGCAACTCGGTCTTGAGCTGTTCATTTAGGTTGTCGAAAATATCTTTGGCCAATGAGAGCTCCTTTTCCGACCTTGGAAGCTTGGAAGCGTCCTTTGCAGGTTTGTCGATTAGTCGACGCACCTTCGCCTTGGCTGCATCATAATCCTGTTTCTTGTGATCTCTCTTCTTGATGGCTTCACCAATTTCATTGAAGTATGTGGAAAATTTGGTAATTGGGTCCAGTACGGTTTCCCGGAATGGCCCGTCCAGCTGTTTGACGGTCTCGGAATCGAAGTCCTGAACGCACTGTAAGTAATAGTTGCCTACGTTATAGCCCCCACCGCTCACGGACTTCGAGTCGTCGTACAGGTTTGAAATGACCTCCGCGATTGTTACTTGTGAGGCAGTCACTGCGCGCAGCGAGTCCAAGTAGCCCTTGGCTTCTTTCTGCAATTCTTTTCCGGCCCTCTCAAGCGTCTTATAACGACGTTCTTCGATATCGTATTCCTTGTCAACGGTTTTATCGACATTTTTGATCAAGACACTGTTACCAGCACGGTTAATGGCTTTTTTGAATCCACCCCAACTCATTTTGATGAACCGTTCCTTTCAGAACTTGTGTCTCCTACACCGTTTCAGGATGCAACTCTTGAACTGGTCATTTTACCTCGTCCCTTTTTAAAATATATATATTTGAGCTTGCGCAACTAAAACTATATGTCAGTCTAGTACGAAGTGATATATTACTCAAGTTGCCTCAGAGCCGAATTTGGGCAGTGAAGCGTCAAAATCGCCCTTTTTTACTCGGCTCGAGGCACTCCAGCTGAAACAGGCGAGAAAAGATGAGGCGAGTACTAGACAATGTTCAATACAACATCTCTAAGAAAGGCACAACTACTGCATACACCGAAGGCAATAAATTTACATAAAAATAGGCCCTTCTCGGAGTATAGCCAGTGTCCAAAGTTCGAATTTGAAATTTGGCCTTTTCGGCCACATTCGCAGGTGACTGAGACTCCCAGGAATTAGACCATTTATGATTTTTTTTTACTCTACAGGCCAAAGAGTAGACTTTTGGTGGGTGTTCTCTCCAGCTTGTTCGCTTTTCGTTCAGCCGTAGCTACTATCGTGATTCGCATTCACTGGTTTTTTCTGCAGGGAACATAACACGATGCAGATGGCAAATGTACGATTGGTATGGCCAGGGCGACCTGCAGCGTATACAGGATAGTAGAATCAAGAGCATTAATCACTGTTCTCTTCGCTCATGTTTTCATTGAAGGAAGCACCCAGGTCGTACCTAACGGAAAACTGGACACGTCCAAATGGTTCCCCAGGCCGAGACGGTTTCGAAGAGCTTTTTTCGAGCCCTGCGAGGTGAACAATGCAATGTAGCCGGGGTTATAATATTAATAGCTGCATTCGATGGCATAGAAAAAGGTTCCTGCTCATCGGATTCCTTCAGAAGAATTTTAAACAGCAACTAAACTTGGATTTGAAATGCCGTACAACTACACCCACTGTTCCTAACTATCAGTCACAAATGGCCTCTCATAGTTTATGGGAGCCTTTCTGTATTTGGACAAGGAAAACGTCTTCTTGAAGTGATATCTGAGCGTTTTTACAACGCAGATTTTTGTTATAAAATCGATGGCTTTTCATTTCAATTCAAACATTGATTGATTCTGCTCAGTTTTATACTTCAAATTAACATCAGCCAGTTAATACAATCATTCAAAAATATCATTGGAAAAATAAGACGTGATATGAGAATTCCTTTTGCCGAATACATCGGTCAGCATGTTTTGGTCATGGATGGTGGTCAAGGAACTGACCTTGAAGCCCGTGGAATCGCTGTAGACAATCCACTTTGGTCAACTGTTGCATACTTAGACAGGGACGAGAAGCAGTTAAAATGCGTTCGAGATATGTACAAGTCATTCATTGATGCAGGTTCCAACACTCTCACGACTGTCACATATCAGAGCTCTTTTCAGTCATTGCGCAAATACAGCAATGGTAAAATCAGTAGCGAGGCTGACTATTTTAAATTTCTCGACTACATACTCGATTTCACTGAAAATCAATGCCTCACTTCAGACCAATACTTAATTGGCAGCATTGGACCCTACGCTAGCTTTTTATTGAACGGCACGGAATATTCTGGTGATTACGGTCCTGAGAAGGTCGATTTCGTCGATTATTACCGCCCCCAGGTTACCCACTTCGCGTCAGCGGCTCGTGTCGACTGCATCGGATTCGAGACTGTGCCTCAATTTTGCGAGTTTAAAGCACTTTTGAGCCCCGAATTTGCGAACTTGTGCTCTTCTAAACCGTACTACATAAGTATCACCACAGACAAGGATGGAAATTTGAGAGACGGAACCTCGGCGGAGGAGCTTTGCAATTTTATCGAAAATAAAGCAAGAGAGCTGCCTTCTAATCTTGTTTTTCTCGGCATCAACTGCATTGAATTCGAATATTGTTCGGCGATTTTAGCTATACTAAACAACAGGCTCACCAAGTGCCGCGTGCGATTCAAAGCCGCTTATCCAAATTCTGGCGAAATATATGATGGGTCATCTCATTCTTGGCTTCAAAATCCAGACCCCAGTGCATGTCAGACTTGGGAAAACTTGGCCTCAGAACTCTTGGAACAGAACTGTCGCATGATCGGTGGCTGCTGCCGTACTACTTCTGAACACATTGGTCGTATTGCCGCAATCGTGCGCGGACATGCTTGATATCACAGATCCGATCGGACAGGTCAGTTACAGCTGTAACTCGGGCTTATAATGCGTGAAACTTTGACACGGTCGTAATCTATATAGTCTCCGTGGCCATACTTAATGGAGGTCACAGCGTCCACTCATCTAAGTAAATGGCTTCATTATCATTCGAAGAAGGTGCGATAGCATTGCGGCATTTGAAAAGAGAGAAGGTTTCTTCGGCATCTTTAGCTGACTGCCCTTCAGGCTGTGTCATCTCGAGAATGCTTATTAACGAGATTCGATAACAATCAAATGAAATCTTTTCGAGCTTGTCATCGTAGACTAGTACTTGACACAATGATCGTATGTCGGCGGTAGAGAGCTCTACATTTGCCACTTTTGCGCTGATTATGAATTCGAGGATGTCGTCTGTAGAAGCATAATTGTTGACGTGCGATGCATACAAGACTTCTTTCCCACCTGTAAAATTATTAAAACCGTTAGGATATGTTCGTTCTGCAACAAACCGCCATACAATTGTTAGCAAGCTGTTGATGAACTCGACGTCCAGTTCACTATCCGTAAACCATGGCCCCCCAGTTACTTCGATCGAAGGCTGCAAATTGTAGAGCATGTATATTTTACGCGTTGGAAATTTCACGCTCTTGACGCTCTTGACATAACGCTGGGACTCTAGAGACTTCAAGCATTTGAGAACGACGTGCGTGTGCAAATTCGTTCTAGCTTTTATCGTTTTGGTCCATATACCCTCTCTTCCACTGGCTTCAATATAAGAGTAGACGAGTGCTTCATCAGCCGTCATGGCAGCCTTTTTCTGAGCTTCCGCGAAGTCAACGGCTTGGAACTTAAGCTCATTATTTTGCTTGATAAGCTTCAAAAGGTTTTTATCTAAAAGCTCTTGGACTATCGACATGAGATCGGTGAGCGATGAGATGTTCATTATATCCTTCAATTCAATCTGAGTAAAAAGAGCGCTAGAGCCCCTGGCAGTCATATTACTGTGAAGGCTTCTTGCCCTATCCGAGAGTGCAGGCCCACCCTGCAACATGCCCTCCATTGTCTAACTCAGCTTCTGGCGGAAATACAGTCTTCCAATGTTTGGTTTCAATATATTTATTACATGTACTGAATGATTTTTTTTAATTTTCTTGAGCTTCATCGAAGACCTAATAAATGGCATTTCAACTTTTAAAAAGGTGATCACTTCTGCTCGACAACAATCAGCTCGAGTCCAATGTACCCTAGGATCAAGAAGAGAATGTTGAAAACAATCAGCAGCTTGACGTCGAACAAAAAGTTTTGAACGAGGAATCCAAAAGTGCTCAAAATAGTAGCGCCGGGAACCTCGATGTTGAGCCCATACTTTGTTTCTTTAAGGATGAGAGTTTTGACCTCATTGATAATCAGGGATTCGTACGCATAGTAGAAAATCGAGAAATTCTTCAGGTATTTGAAGGCCATGTTACTGATGTCCTTAGTATTGATGAAAAGGCCACTGAACAGCAGTGAAGCCAGTAAAATTAGAACGCTGACGACAATGGAATTGTTGAGGTCTTCCACGAAAATTCCCACGGTCAGAATTTCCAAAGCAATACCGACGTTGAACAGTATCATGATTCCAACGAATTTAAAAAAAGCCGCGTCCGTCATGTTAAGCCCTACGGTGGGATACACCACCAGTGCTAGTATCACGGGAGGTAACACTCTCAGAGGTAAAACATCGCTTATGATCTTACTGATGTAGTAAGCCATAGGAGAATAGTAGTTATTCGACCGTTCTTTCAAGAAGATGATTCGTTCTAATGAGAACGATGTCAAACCCGTGAAGGTTAGAAATCCAAAGTAAGTCAAAATGAAGAAGAATAAACCCAGACGATTTTGAAATCCACTAATGTTGTTTTCCACGTCGTAATACAGTAAACCCAAAAAGCAGGCCAGCATGAGAGTAACCAGGTAGTTACCAAGCAGCAATTTTGGATTTCTGTAAATATTCTTGAATGTTCTCGAGGACAGGATTATAAGTTGAGTCCTAAACGTAGCCGGTTTCGCAGGGTTGTGCGTTTCAATTGAATCCTCTGCTGCTAAGCTCTTGATGGTCTCGATGTCTTGGATAAGTCCAGCGAAGTACTGACTTTCCTTAAATTTGGAATGCAAAACTTTTGTATTCAGCATTCCTAATCCGCCTCCTTGCATATTTTCGGGACGGTCCAGCAATGATCGAAGCTCATCCCGGTGAACGGCATAATGTTCCCACTCGCGCTGAGTGGCTGTTACAGAGTCCTTTCTGGAGTCAGCAACAGTCGAAAAGTCTCGCCCTTCACCGTTATGTATATTCGACTCTATGTCATCCGGTGTAGCTGATATTTTTGTGTACGTCTTCTTGGCTTCAAAAGTGATGTCGATCAAGTAATCGGCAATGTTGTAGTCCGATGGGCATTCGTAACCGTTATTCTGTAGAAACTCACTCACTTCTGTCGCGACGCCAGAATAAACCAGTTCACCCTGACTTAACAAAACAAGCTTGTCAAATGATTTAAAAATGTTCGATCTTGGTTGATGAATCGACAAAACCAATGTTCTATTGTAGTGCAGGGCCAGGCGCACCAAACATTCAATCACGTTGTTCGCGTTATTGGAGTCAAGACCTGAAGTAGGTTCGTCAAGAAATAATATCGATGGTGATGTGACAAGCTCACAAGCAATTGAAACTCTTCTTTTTTCACCACCACTTATTCCTCTTTCAAAGTCATCCCCTATGATCCGATCTTTAATGTCGATGATCCGAAGTTCTTCAAGAACCTGATATACTCTCTTTTGCTTAGCGGCAAAACTTAGGTTTCTCGGAAGACGCAAAAGTGCACTGTTTAGTACGGTCTCATACACTGTCAATGTTGGCAGCAAATAATCTTCCTGATCCACAAATCCAATTATCTTCGAAAGTTTTTGCTTTGTCAATTCGCATCCGTTCACCTTCACTGATCCTGTTACTTTACCCGCTTTATCTTTCATAGCCAATATGTCCAGTAGTGTGGTTTTTCCGGCGCCGGAACCACCCATAAGTGCCATTATTTCGCCAGACTTGACAGATCCACTGATGCCATTCAACAGTTTGACTTCCCCTTTGTCCGTTACAAGGCGATATTCAATATCTTCGAAGGTAAGAGTAGATTTGAGGCTAAATTTTAGGAAATCACCATCATCGTCATTGTCATCGTCTAGATGAATAGGTGGGCTGCTGAAAAAGGGGCTTTTTGAAACAAAGACTATGGCAACAATTGTGAGTGACAGAAACAAGACAGACGTAGCGGAGAGCATAATTATGTGGAAAAGGGAAAGTTTGTCCTTGGAAGGCTGTTCATAGCCTGGGATTTCGCTGTAGTGAACGCATTCTCCTGACTCGCATTTGAGAGTAATGTAAGGATCTCCAAAAACTGTAGAAATCAAGTCATTCATACTAGGTTCGCTGAACTTACATTTTTTCGAATTCAGATCACAGGTGAACTCACCGGGCCCCTTGATAGTTTCTGTCAAAAACTCTGAAATGTCAATTGAGCCTCTCTGCCCGCATAACATCTCCCCTGGCACGCATTTACACTGCACTGACTCGCAATTGTAGTGCGAAGAGTTCGTCTTCAAATCGTGATTGAATTCGCAGGACGACAAACCGCAGTAAAAGCTTTCAATTTCTTGAATCCAGAATTGGAAGTTGCACTCGCCAGAGGACTTGCTGCAGGAAAAGGTGACCTGAGGCTTCTTGCCATTCAATATCTGTACAATTTTAGCGTTTGTGACGTCACAACCCTGGTGAAACTGTTTGACTATCATCCCGTTCTTGTAGCACGTACCCTTCAGACCCTCGGGCATGAAAGCATCGCAGACGGTGTCATTTTCACAAATGTTGCAGTTTATGCCGCCCCAGCCTTGTTCACACTCACATCTTTCAGTCTCGTTGTCTCTCTGTGGCCTGTTATCATTGCCGTCTGACAATGCACCGCATAGCGGCTTGGAACAATCGTCTCCACCGAAACCTGCCAAGCATTCACAGCGTCCGGTGTTAGAGTTGCACCGGGAAAATTGCTTACATTCGAACACCGGTAGCATGCAGTTGAAGCAGGGAGGACATTTACCGTCATCGTCTGGCGTCCTTACCAAATCTTGTGAGCCGAAAATGAGTTCTTTCGACGACTGCTCAGTTAAGGCTGAAGTTAGGCTCGGCAGCAATGCCACGAAGGCAAAAGACAAATTTTTCAGACGCATCCTACTTCGACCAGTCAAATGTTAGTGTCGTCGATAGGATGGGAGGTTGAAGAGGATGTGGCATATCTAAGAGACAATAACGTGGAGGACAGACATCTCCCACTTAATTTGGCGATCCCCTGACTTGGTGCCCTTGAACGAAAAAAACCTTACGAGAGCATTAGACTGCTGCTCTGTGGAGCACAATTAGGAACATCCATATTGCGTTGTCACAGGGCCTACATATCGCATCTCCAGTATTGTTGTAAATGCACCATGAATTGGCTTACCATTTTGCTTAGTTGAGCCTCGTTGCTGATTCGATGAGATACGAAATGCCCTTCACAAAGCGTTACCAGCCGTTAGGCTGCTAATTTGTAACCGCCAATGCGTAACATCAAGTTATCAGAATTCTTAAGGAAGTGAAACATAATGTTTTCCCATTATTAGCAATATCTTTCATAGTTGTGCATAGCCCTTTTGTTTTAAGTTTTAGTGTCCCAAGGAAAATCACTCTGTAGTTGGGATTACATGAGATGCTACATACTCGCATAAGAGAATTGCCCAATTTTGAACCTTGCGTTCGTCCACTTCATCAAAAGTGTCCCCGAGCGTGTGCCAATAAGAGGGAAATGGTAGAGGAATGAGATGCAGAACAGAAATGTTGCAGGCCAAGAATGGGAGATGGTCGTCTTCGATCACAATACGGTTAGATTTTAAAAAGCGAAGGTCATCCCTGTCGAAAAGAGTCTTCTTATGAGGCAATTCGTTCTGATGGAGAGTTTCTGTTGCAAGCAGGGAATTGTACACCAGATCCGACTGGCTGAAGTAGCTTGGTACTTTAACATCCTCCCTGCTGCCAAGCAGATCGAGTAAGATAAGTAAGCCAATGCTGTCCAAAATGCCACTTTTTTTCCATCTAGCCGCTAGGTGTTTAGCGCCGTATATCGAGTCGTTGGTGGTCCACTGGTCAAGAGCCTCTTCACCATCAAAGAAGACGACCTTGATTCCATCGAACTCGTCGAACACAGAGGCCAGCCCTGTAGATTCCATCGATTCCGTTAAAGAACCAAAAAAGGTATCTAGGAACTCGGAAACATACAAAAGAACTGAGCAGGATGCAGCGCTATCTATGGCGCCGATGAAACCCTCGGGTAATATTTTCGAGTCATAATGGGCGGCGAGAACTAAATAGTTGCTTGCATTTCGTCCCAAGGTAAAAACTAAGTTGCAGAATTCTAAATCTCTCTCAATAAAACAATCAGGCTCGAATATCCACGGATTGTTAAGTTGCTTGAAGTGGTTTGATATGAATTTTTGAATCTCTTGAGATTCAACGCTGCCGGGGTTTCTTGTGACGTTCAAAGGAATAAGTAAGTTTCGGGAACCAATATCTTGAAGACCCAGTCTAGAACTTAGTGTATTTTCATAGAACTGGTTACCTAACAACTTGGCATCTATAACTTGTGACCAAATTAGGATGTGTAACAGCCCGATCAATATTATCATCACTTTTAGGTCACTCTTAAGAATATGGGTTGTCACTTTTTGCAATACTTCTTTTAGACAAAGTTTGCCCATAGTCCTACTCGGCTAGTTCAGGGATGAACACAACGGCTAAGAGTAGCATCATTTCGTTGGGATCCACCACCCGGCCCGGAGGATCGGAGGCTCCTGACTTCTTGAATCAGAAAGTACTCGTCCCCAAAAGCACAACGGACTTGGACACTAATCCGGTGCTCAGTGACATCTCGCTCCCGGCAACCTTTGAACTGTCGCAAAGAGAACAGCATGCTGAGATACATGACGAAAATGATCATTTGCGCAAGCGAGTTGGGAACTTGAGCAGTCATGCTTCCGCTGTCAACCCAGCTCGCCTCCCAATTGGAATAAGCGTTGAACGTACAAAGCATGATAGTTCCTTGGAATCACAACATAAAGCCCACGCAGCAGAGTCTGTATGTGACAGTCCAGATTCTGCAGAGCTCAGTTTTGAAGATGGTGTCTTTCCTTCTCGAGTCCACCCCATACCATTGGAGAGCAACGCCCGCACGAAACGTTCAAGTATATACCAGGGAAGGCCGAGTGGTACGATGCCAACGAGAGGCTTCAGCCGTACCTCCCACTCTACATTTCTTGAAGGCGATGATAGGAAGTCTGTGAAAAGTATGTCATCTTCACTAACAGCGTCATTTTCCAAGAGCTTTCTATTCGGCTTTTATCACACCTACAAAAATGGGGCAAAGCCATCCAAAAGTGTTCTTTCGAGAGAGTACTGGATGAAAGATGAGAGCGCCAGGGAATGTTTTGCGTGTGCAAAGTCATTTACTACATTTAGGCGGAAACATCACTGTCGCATTTGTGGACAGATATTCTGCGGAAACTGTTGTTTTCTAATAGACGGCGGGAAGTATCAGCATGCGGGAAAGGTGAGAGTATGTCGAAACTGTCATACACACTTTGACCATTTAGACGACTCGAGCGACGAGTCCTCAGTTGACGAAAATGAGCAGGCCACCCAAGTGACCACTAGTAACTCCCCGGATAAGCGTGTACCAAATTCCGATGTTCTATTACTGAAAGATGACGAGGTCCAAAGTATTCTGACTACTGGTGATGGTACGAATTTGTTTCGCTCTACTCCACCGCCACTTCCGAAGATGGCTATTCCTGCTACAAGACAAGGGGGCTCTGTTGAAATCTCGATACCAAATATGACGAGCCCTTACAAGATTGAAGGCCCCTCTAGATACCGGCCGAGCTTGAAAGATCGGTTTACTATCAGAGACGTTGACCTTCTACAGCCCTACGACAAGGATGAAACTGGTAGTACGCTTGGGTCTAATCGTCAATATCAGCCTGAAGGGCAGGCCAGTTTTCCTCATATCTTGAATTTGAAGCACTCCATTTCAAACTATATCACAAACACAACTGTAGGAGATGAGCAAAAGGCAACCTTGCATTCTTCAAATTCGGTTATCGAGAATCTTTCCAGGAATGATTTTAAATTCGAGTTCAACTACGGGATGGGTAATTTCCAAGGCTTCCTAAACTCAGCACATTCTCAATCCCTTCAAATTATCGAACGAAAACCGAGTAAACGTACAGAGTCTTCGCCAGTTCTGGCCTCTTATAATGAGGGCCCTCATTTTGAAAGCGAGACGAAGCATAGCGATGATGGGTCTGAGGATGAGCGCTCCATGTCTTTATATGCTGCACTCAATGATTCGCATCAGGAGTCACATTCCGTGAGGCCCACGAGGAGCAATACAAAGTCACTTCAGAGGGCACAAGCGTCTCTTCAAAGAATGAACTCTCGTAGGAAGAGTAGAGGTCGTGCTCTTCTAAACCCTAGTCTTAAGCTCAAGCCATTCGAGTTTTTGACTCACAGCAGTCCCAATCTCAAGTCAGTGATAGATAAAGATGACGATCACGACAAGTTATCTGAGTCTCTCGCGAGCGTCGACCGATCAAAGCCGCGAAGTGAGGCAAGTTCCTCTACGAGAGATATGAAACGTATCATTTCTACTGCGTCTGTCTTACGATTGAAGTCTCAAGAGAGCAAGACTGAACTGAATGAGGTATCGCAAATTCACATGAACGCCTTACTGAAGCAAGTCCTAAGCGATCAAGATGTCGCCAATGTCAGTGATTGGATTGACATGTTTAAACCCATCTTACAAAGCCTGCAGAGTATTCGACTAGATGCTCGGAAAATGAATGGACTTGATTTCAAACAACACTACGTCAAAATCAAACGAATTGACGGGGGAGACATAAGTGACTCTAAATTTATGAATGGCATAGTGTACTCGAAAAACTTGCCTCTCAAAACGATGCCCCGATTTGTGAAATCTCCCAGAATTTTGTTAGTCATGTTTCCGTTAGAATACCAAAAGAACGAAACCCACTTCATGAGCATAGATTCTGTTATGGCTCAAGAGAGAGAGTATTTGAAAAAACTTGTTTCGAGGCTAACCGCCTTGAATCCTGATCTGATTCTTGTCGGTGCCAACGTTAGCGGTTATGCCTTAGAGTTACTCAATGATTCTGGCGTTGCAATTCAATTTAACATGAAACCCCAAGTCATAGAGCGTGTCTCTAAATTGACAGAAGCGAGCATTGCTATTACAGTAGATAAGCTCGCAACAAATATCAAACTCGGTAGTTGCGGCTCTTTCGAGATAAAGACATACCGTTATGGTAATATAGTGAAGTCCTACACATTTTTGGATGACTGCAAATTATCAGAAGGTGGGACAATTTTGTTACGCGGATCCAACTCTGTAATTTTGAGAAAAATAAAGGACATTACGGAGTTCATGGTCTATGCTGTTTTTTCCCTAAAATTGGAGAGCTCCTTTTTCAGTGACAACTTCTTGCAACTTTCAGTTGATTATTACGAGAGGATTGCCGAGAATCGACAAATTGCATCGCAGCCTAGTTATTTCACCGATTTCATTGATAAATTCCACCAGAGAATTCTTTCCGTCTCGCCTACTGTTGAATATCCGATACCTTTTCTATTGGAAAAGGCTCGTGCTTTGGAACGGGAGTTGGTTGAAAAAGAGGAGGAAGGTGAGTTGCTTCTCAAAAACCCCGCTTTCCATAGCGGTTACATGAGTAAAAGTCTTAAATATCTTGGATTGGAACCTGCTTTGACCAATCGAGATCTTAAACAGCTCGTGCGGTTTATGCATGAAAAGGACATCGAGGATTTGAAGGCACGGTTCAAGTGGCGGAGCCGACAGTGGGAGCTTTCATACGCTCTTTCCAAGAACATGCTCGGAACTGGCACACATCAAACCATCAACGTTTTGTATTCGATGATATCGAAGAAGACAGCAACCCCTTGCGTTGGACCACAAATGGTAAGCATTGACTTCTTTTGGGACACAGACATTTCAATAGGGCAATTCATCGAAAACATCGTTCAGATGGCGAACTATCCCTGTGCTCATGGTTGTGGTAGCCTACTTTTAGATCATTATCGAAGTTACGTTCATGGCACAGGAAAAGTCGACGTTCTGGTTGAGCAGTTCCAAAGCAGGTTACCATCTCTCAAAAACGTTTTGTTGACATGGAGTTACTGTAAGAGATGTAACAGCTCAACCCCCATTCTTCAAATGAGCGAGAAAACGTGGAACTATTCTTTTGGGAAGTATTTAGAGCTGATGTTTTGGAGTCGAAACAAAGGCATCAAAACGATTGGAAACTGCTGTCACGACTTTGCAAAGGATCACGTCAAATATTTCAGCTTAAACGACTGGATGGTTAGGATGGAGTATTCTGACATCGAAGTGCATGAATTGATAACTCCGCGCTCTCAAGTTACATGGAAGCCTAACATAGACATAAAGCTCAAAGTTGAACTGTATTACCAAATTTTGGACAAGATCAACAATTTCTATGCGAGCGTAAATGACAGATTAGAGAGGATCAAACTCGATAGCATCCCGAGTGAGCGCGTCTCAGCGGGCGAAAAAAAAATATCGGAATTGAAGGTAGAAGCAGATAAAGAGAAAGAACTTCTTACAGAACTAACTGACTCGATCTACAGAAACACACCAGGAAACCAGCACCTCCCACTGAATGCTATTATACGGTCAGTTCACGACAATGCTGCCGGGTGGGACTTGGAGTTTATCGAATTTGAGAAAACGTACTTACCTTCTGAAAGGGATGTCGCCAGAATCACTGCGGTGCAGCTAAAAAAGCTTTTCACAGATTCTGTTAAAAACGAACAAGAGCATAGGTCGCTAGCGAGGAGCTCTTTTGATACTGAAGAAGAGTTTGATTCATCACTGCCACGAGATCAGCGTTTCACGGGTGGGAGATTAAACAGTTCGTTATCTAATGATCTGGAATTGCTGAAGGCCTTTGGAACCTCAAAATTCGAAAAGTCAGGAGAGCTGGGGCGATCGCCCAGTAAAAAACAACCTATCGTTCGTCCCCGTCCACTCATGGTTCACCACAGGACTGCACCGACTATCAATAAAAGTCTATCGCGTGGACCACAATCTGTCTCCAAAGACGATATATTTGTGGATGGCGCCGAAGTTGGGAATAATCTTGGCTTGGACTACACTAGAGTCAGAAAACCTTCCAGTGGGGCCTCTTCAACCGGAGTCTCCGATGTTGCCCCTCAAAGCACATCCTATTTGAGCAGCCACAGTCTTGGGAGTATTAAAAGCGGCAGCACACTCAATATTAAGGATCAAACCTCTGAAAGTAAAGTGGGGCAGTTGGCGAATTTCTTTGATCGCATTCACTTCGACGCTCTATCGAGGGAGTTTGAATTGCAAAGAGAATTTGAAAGACTGCAGCTAAACAAAAACAAGTATAAGGCTGTGAGGGTTGAATCATCCAAACCTATCGTAGAAATCTACAAAAATGTGAAAGATGCGGTCAATGAGCCTTTGCATACGGACAGTCAAAAAGTCAGACATCCCTTCAACAAGCAACTGCATCATGACTGGAAAGATAGTGGTAAGAATGCTGAAGACATTTCAAATCCTAGCAAAGAGCTGGGAAACAAGTTAGAGCATTCCATTCACCAGTGGGGCGAGCAAATATTACGCGGAGATGAAGATCCGCCTAGTGGCGGGGGTACAAGGGCCGGTGGCGAATCTGAGAAGACAGGCAGTGATTTCAATCTTGAAGCAGCTCAGGCAATGGCAGAATCCAAAACTCAGGACAGCTCAACCACTTCTCAGCCAGAAAGATCTTCACTAATGAAAATGCTGGCAAATTTTTGGGCCGATCGATCAGCCACATTGTGGAAATCCCTTGACTACCCTACGATATCTACCGAGCATATTTTTGTTGACAGTCTTGTGATCATCAGGGAAGATGAACCATCCTCTTTGATAGCTTTCTGCTTGAGCTCGAATGACTATTTACAGAAGATGAGTGCGCCCATTTCAAATAAAGGTGTCGGTATCGATTCGAGATCTGTTGTATCTCAAAAGGATGAATGCGACGCTAATTCTTTACCAAGTTCTCTTGCCGAAGACGAGCACAGTACTTTAGGCGATCATGAAAGATTCAAAAAAGGTGATCTGAATAATAATGCAAAGGGAACGCAGCGCCAAAGGCCGCCTAGCGTCGGAAGTACAAATCCTCAAAAGATCTCCGATGCCAAAGTCATGGTTGAATCCGAGAAGCGAAGTTTGGAACAGATAATGACAAAAAAAACAGCTATGCATTTGCGTTACCAGTTTCAAGATGGCAACTCCATCATGTCGTGCAAAATCTTTTTTGCAGAGCAATTCGATGCCTTTCGCAAAACTTGTGGGTGTGAAGAAAGCTTCATTCAAAGTCTCTCTAGGTGTGTCAAATGGGACTCGAGTGGCGGGAAAAGTGGCAGCGCTTTTTTGAAAACTCTAGACGATAGATTTGTGATTAAGGAACTTTCACACACTGAACTAGACTCTTTCATTAAATTTGCACCCAGCTATTTCGAATATATGGCACAAGCAATGTTTCATGACCTTCCAACAGCTCTGGCCAAAGTTTTTGGATTTTATCAGATCCAAACCAAGAACTCAGAGAGTGGAAAGAGCTTCAAAATAGATGTTCTTATCATGGAGAACCTCTTCTACAATAAAAAAACCTCGAGAATATTCGATCTGAAGGGTTCAATGAGAAATCGCCATGTCAAGCAGACAGGAAAAGAAAACGAGGTTTTATTGGACGAAAACATGGTTGAATATATCTACGAGTCGCCTATCTTTGTGAGAGAATACGACAAGAAACTTTTACGCGCTTCCTTATGGAATGACACTCTCTTTTTGGCAAAAATGAATGTCATGGATTACTCTCTGGTGGTTGGAGTCGATAACACGGATCACACGCTGACAGTCGGAATTATCGATTTCATTCGTACGTTTACTTGGGACAAGAAACTAGAAAGTTGGGTCAAAGAAAGAGGATTTGTAGGCGGCAGTACAAAAGAGCCAACCGTCGTAACTCCCAGACAGTACAAAAACAGGTTCAGGGTCGCCATGGAGAGGTATATTTTAATGGTGCCAGATCCGTGGTTTCAAGATAGCCATAACTAGTTAGCATCTTAGCAACAGCCGAGGGGCAGCTCTTGTAGGCAGGAGCTGCCTCAACTTATCCTTTATTTAGTTAAAATTACTCGCATATTTTAAATTGATTGTCGTCGCTGCTGGGTTTTGATAAACACCCGGCAAAATCCTAATCACAACTCGTAAATCGTCAAATTAATTATAAACATTAAATGACGGCTGTACAAACATCAACACGTCAATTTCACGCGTCGACAAAAAAAAACAATTCTGCATCTCTTAAAATCTTTATGCTCTTCGATTAATTTGAAGATCAAGAATTTAATTATTGAATTCAAAAAAGAACGTCACAGACAGGATTCGAACCTGCGCAGGTAAAACCCAATGCCTAACTCGCCTTCGAAATGTCGAATAGCAGGGCATCGCCTTAACCACTCGGCCACTGGGACTTTCTTGGATGGAAAACCTAAGGGTTTATAAACAGTTATCAATCAAATAATTTAGATGGCTTTAGGTCTTTACTTAGAGAAAGAAGGTGAAGATCGAAAGTATGCCAAACGGACAAGGTGCCTTTAACGAGCTTGCCAACTAGATGTGGTTTAATAGCTCAAGTACAATAATCTTAACAGTAACTAGGATGACACCTGAATAGGCCAAAAGTCGGTTTAGGGTACCGATTCTTACATTGTCTATCAATCAAAGAGGCATTGGCTCCTCTCTGCTTCGGATTACGTATCTGAGATTAGTGAATGACAGTGCACCCGTCGGGGAGCTGCATGAAAATCAAGACTGCGCTGGTAGGAGATGAAGAACAACGAGGTTTTCCTGTTGACTCAAGTTTTTGTCTCACTATTATTGTTGATAGTCCTGAAAGACGCGAGCCAGAGAAGTTGAAAGTTGGAGAAATACCTAGGTAGACTTCCACGCGGTTCTCGACACGACATTAAGCCGCTTCAGATCAAAAGCTCTGTGAATTATAAATTAGCTTCACGGAGATCTGAATGCGGCCCACAAGAGCATGAATGAAACAAAGAGGCCCTCACAATCAATTGCCGCATTCCTAATCTAGCACCACGGTAGTCGGTTATAAACGCGTGCTGTTCGCTGTTTATTGTTTACCAACGAGTCCCTTAGACCGATGATTTCTTTGACTGCAGAACATGGATAAAGCTACCCACGTCGCATTCCAGAGCTCTCTCGAAGCAATCAGTCAAATGAAACAGACAAACTTTATGCACTTCGAAGCCGCGTAGGATTATTTACAAGACGCATACTTACGTAAAATTGACGATGGGAACTTTACGTTAGTCCCATCCATTGACCCACCGTTTTTCCCAAAGGTTGCAATCAAAGATCGGCTTTCCGAGCTTGCGGTTGACATCATTGTGAGCGTCACACATCCACTTGCCCAACTCCTCTCTAGAGTCAACGCGTGGGGCGTTTTCACGGATAAATTTGTCAAAATCCTTTGCACACCACCAACACGGATAAACATGCGAGAAGATGGTCATGAACTGCTTCATTTCAGTTTTCTGCAGGTCAGTGGGAGCTTTAGGATACGACGCAGCGACCGCGTGAAGTAGGTTCCAACTGGAACGACCTAATAGCTCTACATCAGGTGGATCGTCCTTAGCGTAGGGTTCGGCTTTAGAAATCTTTTGAGTGGAATTCTGAACGCGAGAAGTGCCTATTTTCCCCGTTGCGAGTTGGAAGTCCAGCAAAGTGTTACATGATCGACATCTAGAGGCACGTTAGTACAGATCTAGCGAAGTAGACACTTACAAAGTTCTAATCATACGGTTTTCCGTCCTCGTCGTAGACAATTTTTCGTCCTGAAAAGTCGCTTTTAGCAGGACGACTTTGACCAGGCTCAATCATATTCGTCGTGATGTTCAAATCCAATGTCGTTTTGTAATACCCTTCTTACATGAATTCACTGCTGTTAAATCTTCCTACTATATAGAACGTCGTATGGTATATTTTACAGTTGAAAATAAGAAAAGGATACAATGGATTGAGAAATCGAAACATTATACAAGCCTCGAGTCTGGGTGGAGACGGGCTTGTTTGAAATATAGAGACATATATATTTATTCTCTTGAGTTGACCGACACGCTCTGTGCTTGAGAATTGCAATTACTAAAGACGGGCCCTTTGCAAGAAGCCTCTGATCCATAATGTCATCTCCCCGCGGAATAAACTTCTTAAACTTCAATCAAACAGGATCATGTATATCCATGGGGACCTCGGAAGGATTCGAAATCTTCAACTGTGATCCATTTGGGAAATTCTACTCGGATGAGAGTGGAGGTTTTGGTATAGTGGAAATGCTGTTCTCAACGTCGCTGCTGGCAGTGGTCGGGGTGGGCGACCAGCCGGCAATGTCGCCCCGAAGGTTGCGGATCATCAACACCAAGCGACATTCTGTGATTTGCGAGGTCACATTTCCCTCGACGATCCTAGCAGTAAAAATGAACAAAGCTCGTTTGATCGTGCTACTGCAAGATCAGATATACATTTACGATATCAGCAAAATGCGGCTGTTGCACACAATCGAAACAGCTACAAACCTGCGAGGACTGATTGCCGTCTCTCCATCTCTGGACAGCAATTACCTCGCATACCCTTCTCCCCCGAAGGTGATAAAGTCTGAGATCAAGGGCCACGCAACGACAAATAACATCAGTTTGTCTTCTAGCGACGCGACCACGATGCACAATTCGCTCAGCACAACAGATGCAGCTGTAGCATCAGGGTCACATCTCTCACCACCAGGAGACCTCTCAGTTGGTGAAAATTCTTCGCTGGAAGTGATGGACAGCAATGCTGCTATTCTTGCGCCAAGCCAAGGGAACGTAAAGACCGCCAACAGCATTCTGAAAAACGGTGACGTTATTCTGTTCAATATGCAGACTCTTCAACCGACAATGGTCATAGAAGCGCACAAGGGCGAGATAGCAGCTCTTACTTTAAGCAGGGATGGCACGCTTCTGGCCACGGCGTCTGAAAAGGGCACAATTGTAAGGGTGTTTTCAGTGGAGACAGGGTCCAAAGTCTACCAATTTCGGAGGGGTACGTACCCAACCAAGATTTACTCAATGTGTTTCAGTGATGACAATCAGTTTTTGGCCGCCAGTTCCTCCAGTAGAACGGTTCATATTTTCAAGCTCGGTAAAGCAGCATACATGACAGAAAATGCTGATGCTCACAACAATAGCGATTTGGAAGATCAAGATGCCGATGATTTTTCGATAGACGAAGTCGAGGAAGGGGAACGGGAAGAAACCGCGTCTCTAGGTCACAGTTCCATAGCGAGCTATGATTCGTCACAGCCAGACGGGCCCACAAAGGAGCCCGTTGTTGACGCATCTAGAAGAACTGTGGGAAGAATGATACGAAATTCGTCTCAGAAACTTTCTAGAAAGGCCGCCAAGACGCTGGGTGCCTACTTCCCTATCAAGGTGACATCGATATTGGAACCCTCAAGACATTTCGCGAGTCTGAAACTCCCGATCGAGAGCGGTGCTGCAATCAAATCTATTGTCGCGATCGGTCAGCCCGTCGACGTTGATACCATAGAATATCCTGAGCTGTTTGAAAACGGTCTCTGGGGGTCTGCGCCGAGTGAAAGCAAGTCGGGAGTGATGAAAATGATCCCTATTCGGGTCATTTCTTCAGACGGCTACATCTACAACTATGTTTTAGATCCAGAGAGAGGCGGTGATTGCTTGCTACTAAGCCAATTCTCGCTTCTGATGTACTGATAGTATTTTGTCGAATTGTCAAGGCAAACTGACTTCGATATATTCTGGCTCCAGAGAGCATATTTTACATTACCGAAAAGAATCACACACCCATCTCTATCAGTATCTCAAATTAAAAGCCGAGACATCTCAAGTTGCTGCTCTATGCGCTCGACTTTGAATGAGTTTGCTAGCAGTAACTCAAAGGCGCTAAATCAGCGAAATATTTTGAATACTTTCATCTTACCCGGCAGTTTTTCGAACGGCCCAGATTTAGCATACTGATGATGCCAACCAATATAATAAATATATATAAATCAAGTTTAGAAGAAACAAGATAATCGGATCTTGTAAGCTTCACCGTATCTAGCTCTATACGGTTCGAAAGCTTCTGTAAGTACTGAGCCTGTACTTGCGAGAGAACAGAAATTCCTGACCACATCTTTGCCAAACGGTTTTGACGTCTGCCATCCCTCGTTTTGCTGTTGTGAAAGTCCAATTCTCGAAGCCTTGAGAGCAGCCATTGAAGAGTACGTCAGAGATGGGTTTCACGAGCACCAAGAACAGCAAGGCTCCTGCGTTGTTCGAGATTAGAATAAATTCCACAGAGCACGACGTCATAGTCGTCAAGGGTGCCCCCCATGATGCCTCCTCCGTGCTTGTAGCAGGAACGGTAGTTCTATCCGTCTCTGAGCCAATGCAAATCAAGAAATTAACGCTGAGAATGTACGGCATGCTGCGTTTGAACTTGACAACCACATATCGCGGGCCAAAAGGTCCAACCGAAAGAAGCTTCAAGTACGACAAGAGGTTTTTCGAGCATGTCTGGGACAACATCAACATCGAGGACTACTTTCACAACCTCTATGACAACTATGGCTCTCAAAGATCTATTGCCAGTAAAAGTGGTTCCTTCAGCAATCTGCACAGTTTGCACAACAGAGCCAAGTCTACAACTTCTCTTAAGTCGCTGACGTCTGGCTCCGGAAGCAACAGTCACCTGTTGGTTAAAGGAAATTACGAATTTCCATTCAGTGCTGTCTTGCCCGGTACGCTTACCGAGAGTGTTGAGGGCTTACCCAATGCCTCGGTAATTTACAAAATCCAGGCTACCATCGAAAGAAGCAAGTTCGCCACTGATTTGATAAGCAAAAGGCATCTTAGGGTGATTCGCACACTAACTCCCGATGCTGTGGAACTCAGCGAGACGATGTCGGTAGATAACACATGGCCAAAAAAAGTGGATTACTCTATTTCGGTGCCGGGCAAAGCAATCGCAATTGGATCTTCAACGAACATTCACATTCTTATGGTGCCGTTGTTGAAAGGCTTGAAACTAGGGCCTGTCAAGATACAGCTCGTCGAGTATTCTTCTTTCTGCGCCCCTTACGGTGCCGGCAACAACCAGGAGCGTATTGTATCCAAGCTGAAGCTTTCCGACCCCCTTAATCACTCGAATATCGATGCTGATGGTGATGATGCAAGAATGCCGGAATTCCAAGACAAATGGGAGTTAGAGGCTTCCTTTAAGATTCCTCCCAGCCTTTCAAAATGTACACAAGATTGCAGTATCTTGTCGAATATAAAGGTACGCCACAAGCTGAAATTCGTTATTTCGTTGATAAATCCCGATGGACACGTCTCAGAGCTTCGTGCATCTTTGCCAGTTCAGCTCTTTATCTCACCTTTCGTGGCTCTGGGTGTAAAGTGCACCGACTCGTTGGATAGTAGTGCTAACATTTCAGCTAACAGCACGGATGCAGAGGGTGGTGAAGATGACGATGACATGATATTTTCTAATTCAATGTCTGAGCTCAATTTGGCAGGACTCGGCGCGGATCAAAATCAAAATAGCTTTACAAACCTGGCCTCGGCCATACTGGCACCCCCCAACTACGAAAGCCACATTTACGATAGATTATGGAGTGGTATCTCTGTGGAAAATACGCCTACCAATTCTGGCAGACAATCGCCGGTCATGGCTACCGAAGGTTCTTTCCTGAGCAGTCCAAGCGAGATGAGTGCTCTGCAGCAGGGGCTTCAAAAATTACATGTTGAGCAAGAAGGCTCTCCGGTACCCGAAAATAGTGCACGTAACGAAACGTCTCAAGGCAGTTTGCCCACAACTCCTGAGCCAAGCTCGCAGTTGGATTCGGGCTCGCGAGCAGCTGCCCAAACAGACTACTTCTCAGCACACACACCCCGTCATGTACAGAGCATGCTGGCGATGAACGTTTCCGGGCTTAAATCACCGGCACCTATGTCATCTCCGGGCCTTGACCACATCTCTCGCGCTAACTCTTTTGGTCCCTTTGGACCATCGGTCAAGTCCGATTGGCGATTAAACACGCTGAGCAGAGTACCCTCATATGAGAACGCGATGAGAGGAGGTTCTAATCCAATTGACTTACCTCCAGCTTATCCAAATGAAGATAATGAGGGTTTGACTTTGGACTTAGAAAGGCCAAAGCTAGCACATCAGAGGTCATCAGAAATTCACAGGGCGAACAGTGGCACTCGCTTGTCACACGCCGCTCTCTCACGCAGTAACAATAGCTCTTCTAGCTCCTTACCCAAATTTTCCTTATCGCGAAACAATACTGGTGGATCAAATGTTTCCATCAATGGTGTTTCAGGTAGTGGAGGCAAAAGTGGGAGCGCGTCGAAGCACTTTAGTTTCAATATGACACCACTGGGAGCCAAGAGAGAGAGCAGGGGGGATGAACCACATGCAAAGTTTTCTCTAAACGACTCTGAATCGGTAGCTGGGTCACCGTCGCTTAGTCGAAACGGATCGTTGATGAACCTTAAAGGGCTCATATCTAGGAAGGAAAGGAAGTAGGGAAATTTAAAAAATGCATTGAAAAGTCTAAATAATAGTACAGCCTTGGGATCATACACTCCTGGACGACTGTAAAAGGAGCCATTCCCGCGTCAAGATACTTCTTTCATTGTGGTTTTATCGGCCGCATTTGCCCCACGGAACCAATGTATCTATTATCGAGCCACGCAGTGCTAATTTGAAAGCATTGATAGATGTTTCTGTCGCGCTAATTGAACAATATATGGGCAGACAATCATCATAGCATGGCGCAGTCTCATAGAGCTACGCTCGTTCGATAGTAAATCGACAAACAGCTGTTTGCAGTACTTCTATAGTGCTTTATACAAACACAAAGGGGCTAGAGTCTCCACATCTAACATAAAGCATTGTTCTCATCTAATCTGAGGTAAGTGTTTCGGCTCATACATACGTATTCTCTGCTCGAGCGAGATTAGCCCACTAGGCGTAAAAACACTGCCGGCGAGAAACTGACAGAAATGAGCATTCCCCAAATTTGAATTTCGCTTGTGATATCAAATGCTCTCCTCGAATGCGATAGAAGAGGTTACTGGCAATACATTCTTTAGACAAGATACCGTCATGCTACGGACGTTCTGGAGAGCAGTTTCTTGATTTGTAGGTGACATTTTGCTCGGAACCTGTTCTTCATCTGTGCTGATCGCCACTATTTAAACTTTACATGCAGAAAAAATGTCATAGTCATCCAAAAGCTAATGGGATACTCCCGAGACAAGCTCGATACTAGTCATCTACCGTTGGCGTCGTTGTTCGTTTTGGCGGAATATTTTAAAACCTCTTCTCGAAACTGAAATATGTACCAGGGAAGAAGTTCTGGCATGTCCGAACAGCGAGCATGTAGCTGGATTGACAAGCTAAAACACGCAGCATGTTGAGCGAGTTCCAATTTAAATGCACTTTAGGTCAAGACCTGTCAAGAGAGTATCGCTGAGAGATACTTAGTTAGCATGCTGATGACTGCGACAAGCCATCAAATGTACTCGCAGAGTGCGAAATAATTTGAGAATTGAGCTGCGCGTTGCTTCTCTGAGTATTTTTTTGAGCTTTTTCAGATTATTTAATCTTTTTCAAGACTAGTTGCTGTCTTAACTTTATTTACATAAAAAAACCCAAGTTTTGCTCTCTCTTCCTCCAACGATCTATACCTTTCAACAAGACAAGAGTGTACAAACAGCTCCGTTCAGATGCTCAATCGCTTGTGTGGGCCGCGCACCTTGCACAAAACATTAGTCTCTAGCTGCAAACATCGCTCTGCCACCCGTGCCTTGCGAAGCCAACAAGCTTTGACTCAAAATGTCAGGTTACTGCATTATAGTAGAGCACTGAGACAAGAAATCAGGGCTCCCGCGAAGAAAGGGTTTTTCGCTGAAGGCTTTGGTAAACTGATCAGATGGTCTATATTCACTACCGGGGTTGTAGTTTCCTCAGTGGGAATTTCCTTAGTGGCATTCTTTTTGTACGATGCTACCACCTACGGGGACTGCGAGATCCCGGAATACATCGAGGTGCCCAAGCTAGCTCTTTCACCAGAGCTTGGAGGCCCTGAGAACTTGCCAATATTACGAGACAATTTGGACGCATACGACTCAGAAGTAAAGGAAAAATTATCTTATAGACCAAAGCTCGTGGTGCTAGGTTCTGGCTGGGCATCCGTCGGTGTCTTGAAATCGCTGGCACCAGGAGAGTATGATGTCACAGTAGTATCACCCCAAAACTACTTTCTCTTTACTCCTCTTTTGCCTTCAGCAGCGACCGGTACTCTTGAAGTGAAGTCTCTGATGGCATCCATTAGAAAATTAGTGAACGAAGTTAGCGGACACTATTTGGAAGCCAAAGCCGAGAAGGTCGAGTTTGCTGAAAATCTGGTTAAGGTATCACAGGTGAACCCCCAGAGTGGAGAGAAAAGGTTCTTCTATTTGCCTTATGATAAGCTGGTCATCGCAGTGGGCTCAACAGCAAATACGCATGGTGTTGAGGGATTGGAAAACTGCTCTAGATTGAAAACAGCAGAGGATGCAATCAACTTGAGAAGAAAAATCAAAGACAATTTGGAACTTGCTTGTTTACCCACTACATCGGACGAAGAACGCAAGAAGCTTCTGAGCTTTGTCGTTTGCGGAGGTGGTCCAACAGGAGTAGAGTTTGCCGCTGAGGTCTTCGACTTGATGAACGAGGATTTACCGAAGACATATCCAAGAATTTTGAGACAACAGGTCTCGGTTCACATCATCCAGTCTCGTTCTAACATTCTGAACACTTACGACGAAACCATCTCCGAGTACGCAATGCAGAGGTTTAAGAAAGACGACATTGACGTCTTGACCAATTCCAGAGTGCACAAGATTTTGCCCGATAGAGTGGTCTTTACGCAAAAAAATGCGGAGACCGGTGAAAATGAGCTGAAGGAGCTACCGTTTGGTTTGTGCTTGTGGTCTACTGGTGTCGCACAAAATCCTTTGGCTAAACAGGTTGTGCAGGATTTGTCGGCTTTCCAAAGAAATAGAAGGGCTATAGAGACGGACTCTCATTTGCGGGTTCTTGGAGCACCTTCGGGCGAAGTTTATGCTATTGGGGATTGTGCCACTGTCAGAACCGATCTTGCGGAACATGCTGTTGAGTTTGTGAGACAATTTATTGTCAACAAGCATCTACACCCCACAAGGAGTACGGAAATAATCACAGATGATGACATCAGACACTTGTCTATCTCTTACGATGAAATTCGGGATCTGGCAAGAGAGCTTGTCAGAAGACACCCCCAGACCAGAGAATTTTTGTATAACGTGGAGGACATTCTGCCCAAATATGATGTTACCAACCGTGGGTCAATAGATTTCGATCAAATCACTCAACTTTTGAGGGATGTCGAGAGCAAAGCTACATCCATGCCAGCTACCGCGCAAAGAGCTCACCAGCAGGGTAAATACATTGGGAAGAAACTCACAAAGGTCTCCAGATGCTCTGAAACCACTCGTGTAAATGAAAGTCCCCAACTCATTGCTGATGAGTCCGTCTACAAAGCTTTCAAGTACGTTCATCTGGGTTCTTTAGCCTACATTGGTAACTCTGCTGTTTTTGATATTCCTGGGTACTCCTTTGTTGGTGGACTGATAGCCATGTATTTGTGGAGAGGCATTTACTTCGCTCAAACAGTATCTTTGAGAACAAGAGTTCTTTTATTCATGGACTGGCTGAAAAGAGGTTTCTTCGGAAGAGACATTTTGACTGTTTGAGTCGAAGATAAAAACACAAACAGGAGACAACGTTTAATCGTCAGCCTTAATCAATAATCCACTACCTACTACAGTAAACATTTCTACTTCACCTTCCTACTTCTACTTCTTCTCCGAGACGCATCTTCGTCAGGCGGCTATTCCATGATTTTTATCGCCAACGACGAAATGTTTACTTTTCATCCTGAGATCGCTTTGCCGCCTTTGTGTTATAATTGTGTCACCAAAAACTAAGTGTGACAGCTCAATGGATTTAAGAGATAAACTTCCATCAAAGCGCAAGACCAATCTCCTGCAATTAGAATTCCTACCGCCCCAGTACAAAGTAAGAGACCAATTGAAACTCAGTTAAAAACTACGTGCGGTTTACTCATTGTCCCGCAACAATAAACACAATAGTCTGCTTAGCTTTTAAAAGACGGGTTTGGGTTTGTTCAGAGGAACATTGTGAGCTACATCATGCGTAAAGGTGCTCGGGGTGGCCCCAAAGCCAACACAGGAAGTGTTTTGAACACTATATCCCCAAACGCAGACAGATTAAACAATAAGCAAGCGAGATATGTAGGGTTTTTCAAAGAGCCCAAGAAAGAGCATGCAATAATTCCCACTTTTGAGCCAGCTTTCAAAGGTGTGGGCGAGAATAGGCATTCCTCTAGCGTTTCGTCACAAAATTCAGAGGGCGCTGAATCTGAAGCTCCTGTTCAACTCAACGACTCGAAGGACACCTGTGTGATAAGTTTCAAGTCGACAGCATTATTTATCGGTGACCTTAACCTAGATGTGACGGAAAAAATGCTTAAATATGTTTTTGGTGTATTTCCCTCGTTACAGTCCGTTAAAATATGCGTTGACGCCGAGACCAAGAGATCTTTGGGGTACGGATACCTAAACTTTTCCGCAGCTGAAGACGCAAAGAAAGCAATCGAAGACTTCAACTACGTGAAGCTTTTCGGCAAGGAAGTGAGAATCATGCCGTCAATGAGAAATACCTATTTCAGAAAGAATATTGGTACCAATGTGTTTTTCGCTAATTTGCCCTTAGAGAACCCAAACTTGACAACAAGAGCATTTTACGAGACCTTCAATCACTATGGAAGAGTGCTCTCCTGCAAATTGGAAAGACGAAAAAATATCGGATTTGTATACTTTGAGAGCGACGCTGTCGCTAAAAAAGTCATTGAGGAATTGAACGACACCGAGTTCTATGGCAACAAGATATCATGTGGCCTCCACTTCGACAAAGATGTCAGGAAATCCCCCGAATTTGAAAAGAGGAAAGCCAAACTTCACGGTTTGACTAAAGAAAGCCTACTCACAGATGATCAAACCGAGGTTGAATATGGTGAACACTCTAACGGCCCACATCCTAATTCTGTTCATGTGAAGAATTTGCCAATTGAGGCAGACAATGAGATGCTATTAGACTTTTTCAGCAAGGTAGGGCCTGTGAAATCCATCTTCACAGCCAGAAGCAAGACGCACAAGAATTCTTGCTGGGGCTTTGTAACCTACAAGAAAGGAAGAGATACTCAGAAAGCACTGGTAGCTTTAAATGGCATGTTGTTTATTGGAAAGAAGCTGACAATTACCAAAGGCGTTAGAGCAGACTCCGAAAGAAACGCGAGATCAGAAAACTCGGTGAAAGAAACCGCGAAAAAGGACTCAATTTCGGATTTGCTGTCAAATGGATACAGGCAAACGTTATATCTCAGCAATCTCAGTTCAATCTGTAACGAAGAGTTCTTGATGCAGCTATGCATCACTGAAAAAATTGGGTACAAACAGATCATAATCGATCATTATGATGAGACCAGCCTGACTTTTGTAGGACAGGTACGGTGCAACTCCCGTCCTGATGCCAATAGGCTTTTTGAGTCACTTAACAACAAACTGGTGGGCGATTGTTTTGTAAAAGTTTCATGGAGACGACCCCTTCTAACGAACAGTCAAGTGACTGTATCAGGTAGAAAGCCAAGGAGAGGCGAAAATTCGATTTACAACAGCCCGGACAGCTATGAGGAACGAGAAAATTATCCGCCACATCACTCCAAAATTCCGCTTCGCCATGACCGCTACTTTGGAAACAATTGCAATTCCGCGAGTACTGCCAAGGATTCTCACCAATGCGCTAAAAGACAGCTTTTAGATGTGTTGACAAAAGAAATTAAGGGGGCTATGGATTTTATATCATACCCTAGTGCCTCCCGCGATGAGAATCTGAAATGTATATCCGAATACATTTTTGATGTTTACTGGCGCTCAGATGTCGAAAGCTTGACAAAATTCATACTTCTGATGAACACCAAGCCACAACATGGAAGAATCCTACAAAAGCAGGTACAAGAGGCCATTAGTTTCCTTGGATTCCAGCGGTGATTTGGCTAAAAATGGTATTGTAGCTTCTAAGGTTTGCATAATAGCTAAAGCCGAATGCGTATGCATGTGGGAAGTTCGCTCGCCTAGATATATATTTAACACTAAACAAACTTCGGTCTCAAGAACGATTATTTAGCGCTCCCCATCGCTGGCTGCCTTTTTTTTATGCGATTGATAAATTACACGAGCCTCTATCGGGACCCTCAATTCAAACCAGCTCTACATAGTTAGCAGGAAAGATTCCTTCCTGTCCGTTATTGCGCCCCGTCCACCAGTCGTTTTGCGATTCTGACTTTTTCAAAATGGATATAACATCGCCTTTTCTGAAGGTCAAATCACCAGACTGCTCTCCCTTGAACGTATAAAGAGCGACTGCTTTCGGTAAGCCTGAAGAAACATTCCTTGCGCTCCTTGAGCCTGCTGGGAGCGATGAAATTCCAAAATCAGGCTTTTCGGTTCTAGGTCTTGAGGGCGCGCTTGACACTTTGGCGTGGCTGAGCCTGTTTGAAGCGTCGGCCAAGTCTCTATCATAAACATCATCTTCCCATCGACTGGAGGACCTTTGGCCCCTGGCTTTCGAGTAATATCCGCTGACGTCGTTGGGATCATCGTCATCAAAATCGTCATCAAAACCGTCATCCAAATCGTCGCGATAGGACCTCGATGACTGTACAGAATCAGCTCTTCTTCGGGTCGATCTGGTATTCGCTCTATGAGAGTCCATATCAGAGGAATCAAAAGAGGAGGGAATATCGTCGTAGAATTCGCTGTCATCATCATAATCCCTGGGTCTGTCTCCATAGTTGAATGCGCGCGACTCGAGGACTCGGAACAAAGGATCCGCAGCAGCCGAAGGTCTCACGCGACCGCTTAAGATCATTTTCGCTTTGCACTTGTCTCCGTATATTTTCCGATTCGCCTCTCTTCTTTCCACAATGATGGATCCTTCAACCGAAACCCCTGCAAACATACCCTTCGTTTTAGAGTATGAAAAGACCGCAGCGACCCCGCCCAGCGAGGCAGAAGCGGCAGCCTCAGCGTTACGGCCAAGAGGACCGGCTGCCACCGATACATTGCCTCCCAAAGTGATGGTTCCGAACTCCGAAAACGATTTAACGGCATCGTCCGTGTTCAGGATGAAAACAAAGTCCGTGAGCTCGACACCGATGAGTCCTCCGGCCCCTGCACCTGCTAGGGCAATTGCCGATGGTGCAGACCACGATCCGTCTCTCAACCGTGCCACGATAATCCCAGAGCCCGCTCGTCCACTAAACAGAAACCCCGCTTTCAGCACCGTGATAACCGCCAGACCCTTTGCTCGTTTTAGCACCTCAGGTGGGATCACCGTGTCTGCACCAAAAAGTTGGTTTGGTTTGACAAAACTCGCTAGCACTTTAGCCGCTTTTCTTTACAAGAGGCACACATTTGCAAGTTAGTATCCTAGAACAAGTGTACGGAGTATAAACCAATTGTGGAGTAAAAAATACTTCATATCGCTGGGGAGACATACTTGCTTTCAGATTTAAGCGATCTTGGTATTGGATTATTGATGCCCATGATAATTACCTAGTTTCTCTGTGTTTTTTTTAGATCTTATAAGAATTCGACGTTTCCCCTTTAAATTCGTTAATTCTCTTTATAACGTTTTTATAGTGAAAACTATTGTATCAATTACGCCTTCATTTTGAGAAAATAAAGATGACAATTACTAGCAAATCTTCCACCAAAATAAACCACGTGAGCTCTACAAGAAGACTGTGAAAGATGTGGAGATTGGTAGTTTAATGGCGTTTTTGATGCAGGGACACGACTGACGAAGAGCGTGATGAGACGAACGTTTGACTCCAAAAATGTGTTGGTGTATGTGCTATTTTGAAAACTGCGAATGGTTCTATAGATGGTGCTGTGTGGTTTCTGAGGGTAACATGAGTACTCTTAGCCGAAGAATTAGCTGAGAATTTCTCTACGACTCTTGCTCTCGAGAAAGGGATTAGTTGGCTCTAAAGTCGAAATGCGCATGTTTTCTTTTTGTCTGGTTTTGATTTCGTGAGTTTCTCATTTTGATTCACATTCAGTGGGTACTCAAACGGCCAATCGAGTGTGTGTAGAATCTTTGGCCACCACAAGTATCAAAATGAGTTGAAAAAGAAGCTCAGGGAGCTCGAGTGCTAAGATCTTATGGCCTATTATTAGTATTATCGTAGTGCTCCATATCATGAATATATCACTTTGTACCGGCTTGTCACCTGTCGCTAAATCACGTGCTACATAAAGCGCATCATTACGGTGTTGAAACGATGTAGCCCTCAGATGGTAATATTGTCTGATGAGAGCTTCTCCCTCATTCATTGCATACATAGAATTTTTCATTTGACGACCCGCCGAACGGCTGACTTTTTATCTCCTCCGTTCTCATTGTGTTGAATACCACTTTGTCATCCCCACCCCCATATGAATTTTTTATATCAAGAACTGTCTAAGAAACCATCAATTGATACGTGAAAGCAATCAGTCATCCAGCGGTCGAAGTTAAGTCTACCAAATCCCTAGATCAGTGAGATCTTGGGGCCCTCGCACGTGATGTTTTGGACGATATTGTATGTTCGTCTGAAGGCTGGAGTTCCGCCGCTCACTACAGATTCGTTTCTACCACATTGAAGCTCACACCAAAGTCTACGGCAGTTCTGCAGAGTGGCCTTTGACCTACCAAAAAAGGCCATTCTGCTACTAATAGAACGCCCAACAGTCATTTTGAAAACTCCACATATATAAGCGTCATGACGGCAACTTGGTCATGACAGCTTTCGGCACATAGGTGAAGGACGAAGTAAGTGTTAAATTGTTCATTGAACTAGACGCTATCGCCGTAGTATGACTAGGCATCGTACCCAAGGTCCCCGCGTTGATTCGTATTAAATGCTGCTCTCATGATTTATCGACATAGTGCTGGTATGGTGCCCGAAATCAAAAGGCATCACAGCATCCACACCTCTGTTCAGCATATACATGTCTCTCCGTAAATCCCTGTACTCCGAATTCAATGTCAAGTCAAGTAGTGGACCAAATATTTGACACTGGATTCTACTGGTTCAAAAAGGCAGAGTCGTTCAACCATCGACTAATCGACAAAGTGAAGGACCTTGGATCGAGCTCTTCACACCATAGAGCGGTTTCCTACAGTCAAACACCTCCCCAAGCGACTACATTATATGGCATTTGGAATCGTCCCATTGGAAAAATAGCGTCCGCTATCGGACTGAGTGCTTTAGCTATAGTTCTCTGGCGCTACGCCGATGTCGTTCTCCCCCAACCGGCGGAACATCTTGAACAAGACGACAGAAGGTGCGTGTTACTGTTCGGTCACATGCGTGATCCAATAACACGTCAAATCGTTATGGATTTGTATCGACGCGGATTTGTGGTTTTCGTATGCTCGGGACATGGCACTTCCGAGAATGACGATCAAGGGCTCTTCCACGTTCAGCCACAAGACCTCAACAACGTAGTAAAGTACATGCATGAAAATTCAGGAGTTTTAGCCTCGATACTAGTTGTGCCAAACTCGGCTTACAATCCATCAGGGGCTTTTACGACACTTTCGTCAAATGTCGTACAGGCGGAACTCGAGCAGAACGTTTTCGCTCACATGAAGGCCCTAACTAAGTTTCTTCCCAAGTTGAGTCAATATCCTCAGATTATTCTCATGACCCCTTCCTTGCCATTGAACTATCAAATTCCACTTCATTCTCCTGAGGTTTTCATCGCAGGATTAATGGATTCGTTCTTCAAAGCGCTCACGTTTGAATATCCCAAGCTAAGCATTTATTTATGCCATTTGGGTGTACTCAAAATTGCAGGTAGCTCCAGCAACTATAAATACCTGTCCGTGAGTGGTTCGAACATTGGGAATTCTTTGCTTCGCCCGCTATATAATCTAATTGTTTCGCAGCCCAGCTGGTGGTTCGGCTTCTGGGAAAGACTTCGCGGGAAACAAAGATTTTATGGCAAGTGGAGTAGAATTGGTTACTCTTTGGGTTCCTGGATACCTTATACGATTTTCAAGTACGTTTGAAGCTTGTTGTGGTACAAAGGATTAGCCTCACGTCAACAAAAGAAGTGCAGAACTCTACTGCCAACTATCTACCCTAATGCATTTTATTACGTGCCGGAATGAGTACGTCCTTTTTTTCTGGGGCCTAAAGTGCCGAGACTTCTGTTCACTTTGAACAACCGGGTATGCTAAAACATTGCTTACTGTAAATACTGAGAAATAATTTTCTAGGCGGTATCCAATCATGGCTTACATCTACCAGTGAAACGAGGGTAGAGGGAACAGTCTCTAACGGTGTATCTGTCGCACAACCAGGCTAGAATACGTTCGGTACCAATACCGTAACCACCATGAGGACAAGAACCATATTTCCTTTGGTCAACAAACCAGTAGTAAGGATCGGCACTGATTCCCTCACGAGCGAAACCGGCCATCAGCTCTTCCGTTGATTCGATTCTCATAGAACCACCAGTAATTTCACCTACGTTTGGCATGAGAACATCGACCGACTCAGTGACACTGAGATCATCTGGACAGCGTTTCATGTAGAAGGACTTGATCTCAAGTGGGAACCTGGTCAAGAAAATTGGGAGACCGATAGTGTCTGTCATTTTTCTTTCAGCGGCTTCAGCAATGTCATCTCCAAATTTGAAAGCTTCGCCCTCCTCGTTCTTGATGTCGTGATCGTTCAACCAGGTGATAGCATCTTTGTACTCCAATCTCATGAATGGCATAGTAGGAGCCTTGAATGTAGGGTTCAATTGCTTAACGAGTGGTCCAGCGACAGGGTCCTCCAAAACATATTGGATGGTCTTGGTGATGAGTTTTTCGAGATGCGCAAGCAAGTCCTCGAAGCTCAAAAAGCACAATTCGGCCTCAATGTGAGTATATTCAGACAAATGTCTTCTGGTGTGAGATTTCTCGGCTCTGAACGATTCCTGAATACAGTAGACATCACCGAGACTCGCCAAACAGGTCTCTAAGTAAAGCTGTGAAGACTGTGTTAGGAATGCCTCCTCGCCGTAGTAACCTAGCTTGAATAGGGTTGAACCACCTTCAACTTGAGTTTGAACCATGCATGGTGGAGTCACTTCACAAATACTCTCCTCATCGTAGAAACGACGAATGGAACGCAAGAAAGCAGCACGCACCTTCATAACGGCCGACAAAGTCTCACCTCGTAGGGCAAGGTGACGTTGGTCCAACAGCAGTGATGGATCGGCACCTTCCGCGATCTTGTTAGTGAAGGCATCCTCGCCTGATGGCGCCAAAGATACAATTTCATAGTAGTCGACCAGCAGCTCGACCCCGCCAGGAGCAACCTTCCCTTCAGGAAGCTTGCTGACGTTACCATATAGCGTAATAGTAGACTCTAGAGTCAAAGTAGAAGTTTGATAAGCAAGGGCTAGGTCGCCGGTGAGCACAGCTTGCAAGAATCCAGTACCGTCCCTCAAGACGACGAAAACGTGGTTTTTGCCTGACCGCAATCTGTGAACCCAACCGGAAACCTTTACTCTTTGGTCGACAGCGTCGTATGATTTGGCAATTTTGCATTTCTGGGCTTCTGGAAGAGAACAGTCTTGCTGTATAGTAATGTTCAAGCTTTCAAGTTTCTTCGCAGCTTCTTTTTCTTCTTGTTCCTGCTTTCTTTTTTCCTGCTCAAGTTGCTTGGCCTGCTTTTTCACCAGGCCCTCACACCCTTTGCGTGCTTTCTTTAGGGCACTGGCCGAGATTTCCACGAAGCCATCACCTTTTTCGGCATCTTGCTTGAACACTAGAAGCTTTGGCTCCTCGCTTGCCTCGCGAGCCGTAAACAGCGCATAGGCAGGGCTCTTGAAGGGCTGCTCTTCAGTTCCCGTTGCGGACACACCGTCCACACCGGTAGATTCGTTGATGAATAGAGACATTACAAAATTCAACTCTTGGTGACCGAAGAATTGATTAAATCTTTTTAATTCACGGAAGATAAATACGTTTTACTAGTACCGCTAAGACTCAATTGGTTTCGTATGAAAACAATTCAGGTCAGTAAATTCCGGTTTCAAAAGATGCGGATCGTTAAGTAGTTTAAGTGAATGTGTGAATCTAAAACTGTTTAGACGATTTAAGTGCTGAGGCCTGTACTAACTATGAGTAATTTGAAATTTGTAAAAATAAAAATTTTCAAACTCATCTCCAGTGATTTGGAATTATTCCTCGAGAGAGAGGAATTAAAGAGGTACAACGGAAGAAACATCAAAGCGACAGTATGTCCTTGGAAGATAAATTCTCAAAACTATGCGTCACTGCTCAGCCAGATGCGTTGGCTGTCAAGTCGTTAGTTTTCAAGCCAAAAACGCCCAAATCTGCTACTCCAGTTCCTATCATCGTGGTCGCCTTGCAGACGACTTCGACAGCAACTGCGGTGATCGGCAGCGCTACAAGCACCAAGGAACCACGTCTAGCTCGTGATGAACTCTTTGCTTCTCATTTTCAGTGTACCTCAGGAAAAGACTTCCATCTAGGCCATTTGTCTCAAGCTACTTCCGAGTTCAAGCTGCTCATCGACGATGGCTTGGCCAAGACGCAGGACTCTCAAGTGCTGCAGCTGACCGAGGACAAGTACATTGCCAAATCGGAGCTTCTTCACTTTTTGGAGGGGTTCTCCCCTCAGGTAGTTGACTTCTCGCAAGAGGCGCCAAAACAACAGGACTCCAAAAAACCTGCAAACAAGGCTGCTGTCACCAATCAGAGCAAGTCTGCGGCATTGGAAGATGCGAAGCTTATTGGTATCACCGTCGATAAGAAGATGGACTTCTCCGGCTGGTACCAACAGGTCTTGACCAAGGGTGAAATGTTGGACTATTACGACGTTTCGGGCTGTTACATCTTGAGACCTCCTTCTTATGCTATTTGGGAAGTTATCCAAAAATGGTTCGACGAAAAGATTAAGGCGATCGGCGTCGAGAACGCCTACTTCCCTATGTTTGTTTCTTCGCGCGTTTTGGAAAAGGAAAAGGACCACGTTGAAGGATTTGCTCCAGAAGTTGCATGGGTCACAAGAGCCGGTTCATCGGAATTGGAGGAGCCAATTGCCATCAGACCCACATCTGAAACTGTGATGTACCCTTACTACGCGAAATGGATTCAATCATACAGAGACCTACCTATCAAACTCAACCAATGGAACTCTGTTGTTAGATGGGAGTTTAAACATCCCCAGCCCTTTTTGAGAACTAGAGAATTTTTGTGGCAGGAAGGCCACACGGCCCACTTGACTAAGGAGGATGCCGAAGAAGAAGTTCTGCAAATTTTGGACTTCTACGCTGGCGTGTATGAGGAGTTGCTTGCCGTTCCTGTCATTAAAGGTAGAAAAACGGAAAAGGAGAAATTCGCTGGTGGTGACTTCACAACTACATGTGAAGGGTACATCCCTCAAACTGGACGTGGTATCCAAGGTGCTACTTCTCATCATTTGGGTCAGAACTTTTCGAAAATGTTCAACATCAGCGTGGAAAATCCATTAGGCTCCGAGCATCCAAAGGTTTACGCGCACCAAAACTCCTGGGGTTTGAGTACTCGTGTGATTGGTGTCATGGTGATGATTCATTCTGACAACAAGGGTTTGGTATTGCCTCCAAGAGTTGCCCAGAAGCAATGTGTTGTTCTACCAGTCGGAATCAATGCTAAAACCTCTGATGAAGAGAGAGCCGCAATTCACCAAAAGGCTAAAGAAATCGAGCAGCAATTGCGTTCTGCTGACATCAGAGCTTTCGGTGATTACAACGATAATTACACACCTGGCTGGAAATTCGCACAATACGAACTTAAGGGTGTGCCTTTGCGTTTAGAATTTGGTCCTAAAGATATGGCCAAAGAGCAAATCTCTGTTGTTCGCAGAAACGACAACCGTAAATACACTGTCAAGTTGGAAGAGTTGACCACTCGTATTCCCGAAATTTTAGAGGAGATGCAAAGAGATCTTTACTTGAGAGCCAAAGAGCTTTTCGACTCTCACAGAGTGATTGTTGACGAATGGAAAGATTTCGTGCCTGCTCTAAACAGGAAAAACCTTATTTTGGCCCCATGGTGCGGTGTCACAGAGTGTGAAGAAGACATCAAGGATTCTTCTGCCAAGAAGGACGACGGAGAGGAGTTTGAGGCTGATGAAAAAGCTCCAAGTATGGGTGCCAAATCGCTTTGTATCCCATTCAAGCAGCCTGAACTGAAGAAAGGTCAACTATGTGTCAGATGTCAAAGAAAAGCGCTTTACTATACCATGTTTGGGCGCTCTTACTAGACCATACGTCACGCAGTTCTTCTATAGAGGTCTATTGTTTTATTAAATATTTGCATCCAACTAAAACTCACTGTGACTTGTATCCAGTGATTACTTGTACTGTTCCCAAAATGACGACCTTTTCAGATCTTCCATGCTAATGGATTTTACTTCCAGCACACCGGCATTGTCTTCCAAGTAGTGTAAACGATCTAATTGAATCACCTCGTCCATGTATGACAAAGCTTTGTCGTAACAAACGCCGACATGGGACACCCCATGGGCGTCATCACTCAGCACAAACCTCGTCCCTGGTATTGTCTTGGCCAAAATTGCAAATTCTCGGCATGGGTAGGGGTTCTCTAGTTTTTTGCGTAAGCCTGATGTGTTGATTTCGATCAGGCCTCCATAGGATGCTACTGTTCTTAAATTTCTTTCTGCGAGGGCTCTGACATCATCCCAGTGTTTAGTGAATGACACAGTGGCGGCAGAAACTGCGTTCTTCGACCCTTCTTCGACCACCTGCCCGGTTTCAGCGTCGACAAAAATGTCTTTTGAACAAAACACACGGAAAAGATCAAAATGTCCCAAAATAAGCGGCTTCATTTCAATGATCAACCTATACTGCTGTTCCAAATAATCTCTTACAAGTGATCTCAGATTGTTGCCCGAATACTCTAACGCCCGATTCCACTCCGCTTGATCGAAATCGATAGGGATGCCATTGACATGGTGCATAGATCCCACGCAAAATTGCATTATGTGCTTGTTGTCATCCATGAGTTTTTTGGCGTAAGCAATGTGATTCATGTCACAGCCCTCGACTTCTACTCCGATGATTATCTTAGTGGGTAAACCTCGAGCTTTAACTTCTGACGCATGCTCCAAAAACTTGTCAAATCGGTCGCGTAGGGTCCTCAAGTCCTCCTCAGCACAACCAGTGGTTTCCTCTGGATAGAGGTATTTAGCATCTATCCTGGGCATGTGTTCTGTCAAGCAGAACAGATCGAATTTCATCTCATTAGCTCTGGCGACGACGTCCTCTAGGCAATCAACACCGTGTGCCACATAGTCAAGAGAATGCGAATGGTGAGAGTACATTGCTAAAAGCTTTCGCGAAAACGTTAAATTGTGTTTCACTCTCTGCTTCAGAGATGGTCGGCGGCAGAAATCACACAGGTCGCCCGTCTTTTTAATCTATTCTCGCTCGTAACCTTTATCGTTTTCCCGCTGAATTGAATTATATTCAAAAAAAAAAGTCAATTAATTACTCAATCAGGATCATATCTCAATCGCGGCATTGGAATCTCAGATCGCATTTCTCAATTTTCTGAATGATAAAGCGGGAGGTAGATAACTGACTTGTATCAAAGAAGTATTTATATCGGTAAAAAATAGCTTGGCTAATTCGCATGCTCCGGAGTCTCCGAAAGAGCTTCGAATAGTTTAGCACAGTTACTCATATTGTTGAAAATACACAAATGTCAAAAGTTGTGATACTCGGGGCTGGCGTGTCCGGCCTTACCTCTGCTCTTTGTTTGCTCGAAAAGTTTCCTGATAAGATATTGGATCTTCAAATCGTAGCATCTGAATGGATGGGTGACTATCATGCGCACGATTTTACGTCGCCATGGGCCGGAGCAAATTGGGCCAGTTTTGCCGAAATCAACGAGCTGGATCAGATCAATAGAGACAAGGATGCATACCTGGAATTCGAACGCTTAGCCGCCACAGATCCAGCCTCGGGCGTCAAGCCGTATATGCTCAAATTCGGCATCCTAAAGGATAGGGATTTGCCATGGTACATTCAACAAAAATTTGTGAAGAAGATAAAGATAATGAGCGAGGAGGAGTTGCGTTTTAGAAATCTGGACCCTTCCCTGTATCACGGAGTTGAGTTCCAAAGCTTCACAGTCACCCCAGGTGTTTACAATGCTTACTTGCTGACCAAGATCCGCAGGCTCGGGGGTAAGGTTAAAAGGGTGCCTCGTTTGGATGTGATAACAGACTTGGTCCCAATCCTCGGATACGTGCCCGACCTAGTTGTGAACGCGACGGGTGTGAATGCCGGAAAGCTTTTGAGACACGAGGAGCCAGACGAATTGAAGAAGGTTTATCCTGTCAAGGGTCAAATTTTGCAAATATACGAGGACTTGCCGCACCAGGTCATGGTAGAGACATTGCCGGAAGAGCTCAATGGCAAATCTTATCAATTTCTCAACATCTTCCCTCGTGCTGAAGGTGGCTGCATTATCGGGGGTATTATGGCTAAGGGTGATTGGTCGAGAACCGTGGACACAGAACTCAGTGAAAGCATTCTGGAAGTGTGCAGATATCATGTCCCCGAACTCAAGTCCACTACAGTTTACAACTCCTACGCGGCTTTAAGACCAGGCCGCGAAGGGGGAGTAAGAATCGAATTATCTGAATACCAGCTCAAGGGTCGGTCTGGCAGTCTAAAGGTAATTCACAACTACGGCATTGGCGGTGCTGGTTACCAGTCATCCTACGGCAGCGCGCGCCAAGTATGTGACCTCGCGTCCCAAGTATTTGATTCGAAAAAGACAATGGCTAAGCTTTGACCTGCTCCGCTGCTTCATAAACCGCATGCCACACATCGAATCTGTCTCATATATAATAAGCTATACATTAATTCATCACCATGACAAGCCAAATACTCTTCGACACGCGCAGTATTAAAAAGAAAGAATTACTCTAAATTTTAGAAAAAATAATTGGACGAGACCGGAGTCGAACCGATGACCTCTCCCATGCTAAGGGAGCGCGCTACCAACTACGCCACACGCCCTGACTGATGAGAGGATGTTATAGTCTACAGTATATAGCAAGACCAAACGGTCACGGCACTGAGCATGGGTTACAAAATCTGAGACCTTGTCATTGTGACACTGAGGAACGTCTCTGAGGTACTGGTCTCAATGCTAAAGTTTTCATGCTGAGCATTCACAGAGCTAATGGATACATATCAGAAGAGCACGAAAAGATAACCATTTTGATCTAAGCACTGTAATACAATCAGAGTTGCAGTATGGCACGTGATCGATACAGATCGATACTCCGACCTGTGTTCGGGCTCTGAGTGACAAGAGCTTTTACATTTTCTATCCTATTTAGCTTCGCTTTTATTACCGTATGCCAACGTTGGGCGGATACCACGATTTGAAGTTCTAGTTGTCGGTCTTAGTGAGTGTACCTTATTTTCGTAATGGGTTAATATTTAGTTTACAGTCGTCGGTGGTATAATTACCTTTATTTGATCTGATGCTGACTTTTGAATAAATGGATGGAATGCTCGCCTCAGTACAACAGAACTAATTCGCTTTCCAAACAGCCATATTCAGAAAAAAAACTGATTTAATGGCTACATTTCAGCTGTTATATACTTTATAGTATCATATGCGCATTCGTCTTGTTAGCCTCAGACACATTGATTCTCATATTCATTTGTATCGCACCTGATGTTGATCATCCGCTTAGCCATAAACGTCAGAATCAAAAATGTCCTGGTATCAAGTCCAAGATACTAACCATGATGACTACCGCGCTCTTTGAACCCATATATGTCAATGTATTGTGTGAAAAAAGTATCAAAGAAGTAACGAAAGTTGCAACCAAAACAATCGCAGATAGAAGAATCATGCCACCTCTAAATCTCTTTTGGTTTGGGATAAAATACAACTAAAAAAAATCACTAGAATGTTTCCTGTGCGATCGCATGCACCGCCTACCTTGTGGTAGTCGGACAAAGGACATGCATTTCCGGACAAAATTAAAGCATTTATTCACTGAACGCATCTTAGCAGAGCCTTGTCAAAAAGTAGCCAAGCGAGCGGCAAATATGAGGCACAAGAATTCCATCATATCCAGTTCCAGAAAGCCTGAGGTCTCCCTTTTTTACCTCTAGAAGTCTAACAGAGACGCTTGTTGACGCGGCACCCACCATAGAGATTTTGGGCATATGACAAACTTCGAGAGGCGTTGGGCCCACGAACGGCGAGAATTAATGATGAATTTGTAGCCTCAAAGCTGCCGAATTAATCCAGTATTGTTGACGGATTCAATGGCTGCTATCGTTTTCCTTCAAGGTTTGTGCCATTTTCAACGACCTAACTCACAAATTACAAAATGATGAGTGTAAATTTTATCTACCGCTGAGCCCTTCTACCTGGTGGAGCATGACTACAGCGCCAAAAACTTAAACTTGGCATGTATTGAATTTTACTGATCATTCTCTGGTTCTGATTTCTCTTCACTGTATAGCTCCTTTAAATCGCGTTATGGTTATAAAGAGCTTTTTTGGCGACATTGAAGCAAGGACGGCCGCATCAAAATTAATCAATCGTGAATCCAAAAAATTTTCATTACTGCCTGTCTTTTTCGCTTGGCATTGTGTGAAACTGAAGAACGGTTTAAGGTATAATAGCATTTAGCAGAGGCTCCCGACAGCATCTAATTCTGTGAAATATTAAACAATTAGTAATTTTTTGGCAAGTCCCAATCACTCCATCTTTTTGAGAGATTACAATGGTGTGTGAAGCCCAGTGAATGGCATATGTTGTTGTAATTTCCTAGTCAATGAAAAAGGCATCCAGAAGTAGGCTCCTCATATACAGGGTAATTCAATAACAATAAAGTTGTCATCGCAAAGTAGCTTAACCACTTAAAGTCACCTCCTTTGACTGCGAATGACCACGAATAGCTTCAAGACAGTGAAATTTAGAGATCGCTCCTGTTAAGCCACTTTTGTAAGGTGCAAAACATTTGATAGTCTAGCGCGGCAGTTTTAAGCAAGACCAGGCATGAGCGTGAAACTTGGTGCTTTAAGTAATTTGAGCGTATTCAGCGGTAAGCTTCGATTTCTGAGCCCTCTTGATCGTTGGTACAAAATGCGAGTTTTTTCGACTTCGTTCCTAGTGCTGAACTAGCGAGAGAAGTGTATCATCTGTTAATGACCTAAAAAACTTGATCTAAAGTCAGGCCGCTCATCAGCGATGAAACGCACATCTGCAGTGAAACGCTTAATCTGAACGAGGCTCACTGTAACCTTGAAAAAAGAATAAGTGGATGGCAGTGAAAGATAAGCTTCGATGAACGGAGATAACATACTCATTCGATCGAAAAAGTTCAACTCCAAAAGTTTGTAAGAACGTTATATCCAGATAAGTGTAAGGACAGCGGCGAAACCAATTGGTGACGTAGGCATTAACTCAATCTGAAGACGATGGCCCGACTTGTCAAAAGCAAGTTCAAACGTGATGCTTCTAGCTCTAAGAGGCTAAAGCAGTCAGTCCTAACGTTTGGCAACCGAAAAACAATGCGATCTGACCGATGTCCGGAATGTTTAATGACCTTTTCGCCGACATCGACCAAGGATATCATTGCGCATGAGAAGTACCATGATCTTCATTTATGTGGCAGAAAATGGTCATCTAATTGGGGAGAACACGTTCAAGAATACAACGTGCCGGCTCAACGCGTGGACACGCGTCCGAGCCAAGCACCGGTAAAACAACAAAAAAAGGGTTCGAGGACCGAAGGTGTAATCACATCATCGGAAGACCGAATAGTACGGATCTCCAAAGACAGGAAAAACGAAGTCCTGGCAACTCTGGAGGTCTTGCATATCGTTAACGAAGAGTTAAAAGCGCCTCACAATGAAAATTTCTTTTGGAGTAACGTAGAAGATAATGACGACGCAATAGTCTCTCGACAAACTAATAGAGTCAATGGAACTGCCTTCGTTTACATTAGTGGAGGGCGCGCAGTAGGCGTATTGACTGTGGAGTTTTTAAAAACGGATGATCTGCGTGGGAGGTGGATGGTATACGACACTTCGTGTATAGTACCGAATGTAACCCCACACATGAAGCTTGGGATTTCTCGAATATGGGTCTGCAGACAACAGCGTGGTCGCAACATTGCTACAAGACTTTTAGAAACCGCTCGACAACATTCGATCCCTGGAATAGTACTTGCTAAATGGGAGCTAGCATGGAGCCAACCCAGCGAAAGTGGGGCCAAGCTTGCCAAGAGCTACAACAGTGTTACGCACGAAAGAAGCGGCAAACTGCTTATTCCCTGCTATATTTGAAAAGATATATAATCAGAGCCGGACTCGAATTTGAACACTGTAAATATAGTACAAGTTATTTAACGACATACTATGATATCACATTATTTCGTCTTTTTTAGTGTCTGCTTAAGGACTTTATCTTTTAACGGTACCTGAGACTTTTCTTACGCCTGCCCCACTTGCGGATCTTCTGCCGTTACCGCTAGACACGGCACGCCTGTTTTTAGGCAACAACTGCCGCAAGGCGACGTCATCTTCTGGAGAGGTTGGTCCACCCCGCTTGTTTGCGCTCCCGTGGCTACTGTCAACTTGCATGGACTCGTCGTCACTATTGTTTCCTACCAGTTCCTTCAAATGCTTGACACTTTCTACTCTGTTGCTCCCATTGTGGCCCTTTCTTGGCTGACCCGGCGAGTTCTGAGGCACTGCAGTGGTCGTCTGGACTAAGACTTTTTGTGCTGATCCAGGCGGAGTCACTGTATGATCTTCAACAGTATAATCACTGACGTTGTATTCTAAGTTTTTCTTGCCGGGTTTTCTAGCCTTTTTCTGACGTCGATATTCTTCAACAGTAACCAAGGGATAGAGATCCCCAATGACATCACTTGGTTCCAGCCCTAGCTTCATAGTGTATCTCCATTCTCTAAAAGTATGCTGATTCAAATACAGCCAATGCTGTTGAGGCCCTACCACCATTCCTGGTCTAACGAACCTTAAGAAGCCTATGCATTCATTTGCTGTCAAGCCATGAGTATAGATGAGATGCGCGCCGATTAGACAGCCAGTCCTCCCAAGCCCTGCCTTGCAGTGGACGGCTATTTTCCCACCCTGTTTTATGATCGTCTCCGCTGCACCGACGAAGTTGTGTACTATTGACATATCGGGACACGACCCATCCTCGAAAATGAGATCTACGTGCTCAATACCAATATCTTCAAAGTGCTTTTTGTTGTACAGGTGCGAATTGAGTCTGACAACCAGTTGGACGTTATTCTCTGAAAAAAACTTGAGAACTGAACGGAAAGAGTTGTTCAGGTGTGATTTGGAGTTGGAAGTCCTGTGTTGAACGTCCTCCTCAGGTGACGCGAACGCGATAAAATCTGGCGTTAGCACGTTCAAGTCCCCATTTTCAACTCTCTCGTATTTTTCGTATGACTCTAGATCAAACGCGTTGAGATTCACCAATCCCTTTTCCTTTGCCCTCCAAATGCCGAAAACTACGTCTTGTATGGTAATCTCAAAATCCGCATTTGAATAACCTGCATCTCTGAAAGGCATGAATGGAGGATCCACCTGCGCTAGTGGTTGTAGCACCTGATGCGGCGTCCAGCCCTGAACCAAAAGCATGTAGCAGCATAGCATACACGCTGCATTTGCTCTTTGACGAGTTGATGTAGATGAGTAAAACACCACAGCTTTGCCGGAGTTATCAGGATCATTCAAAATTTCGTGAAATATCACAGCAAAGCGATACAAATGGCCAATGTGCAGTGGTCCGAAATCTAAATGAAATCGGTTGTAGAACAAAATATCTTCAACAGTGAAAAATACTATCTCATCCGTGTCTTGGGGAGTGTGGTCGTACGAACCAAGGTACACTCTACCTCGCAGAAACTCAATAGCATTCTCAATGTTAATACGCTTACGCATTGTCTAGCCTTTCTTTCTGTTTAGTAGTCTGCTTTGTAGGACTTCACTCCATATATTAATGCTGATCCAGAAAGAGGCATTGAAGTTATGCTGGGGGCAAAACATGAAAAAAAATAAACAAAACAAAAGTGTTTACTTTCAAATTTAAAAAAGTGAAAATTAAAAAATCTCCCGGGGGCGATTCGAACGCCCGATATCCAGATTACAGTGACAACATTACAGTCTGGCGCCTTAAACCAACTTGGCCACCGAGAGCACCTTGAAGAACAAATGAAAATATTAGCTTCATATATTGGTAAGCAATGAGAGGGATGGGAATGCTAATTGCACTCTTCTTTGGGTTAGTACAGCCGATGGTCTTCTTCATCATCAGCACGGGTCTCCTTAATTGGAGCATTGAAGATCTACCAATTCTGATGAAGTAGCAACAAATTTTATATACGGTCATGTTATGGGTCCTATATCTGATAACAAAGAAAATACCGTATTGAGGGGGCTAAATGAGTTTAAAACAGATTCTGCAAATAGGCCTGCCCAACAATCGTTTATGTATAAATCTGAAAATGTTATTAGTTACATGTGGACTGGTAGTATGATTCAAAATTCGGGGTTCAGTCAGAATATAATCCCACAGTTTATAGACGAAGTAAATGCTCACAGTATTCCAAACACTAGGTGTATAGGATACACAAATAGAGACCATATGAAAAGTTTTGGTATTATATGAGACACTACAAATAATTTTGGCAATGTTCAACGAGCTGTAAGAAACTGGAGTAAAGGTAAGCCATATGGAACTAAACAATACAATAAAGATTGGAAAGGTAGTGTGTGTTAATATTCTTGTGCTAACAGAAAAATTATCACAAATAATGCTAATGATCAAAACGCAGGAAATTGTGAATACACAGAAGTCAAATCAGGTATGAATTTGTCTTCAGCTACAGGAGTTAATGGTGAATCATTACAAGGTTACAACCTGAACTTAGATTTTAGGAAATTGCAACCCGGTCAACCTGTTTGTTATACTATCGGTAAACTACCCAATTTTAAACCATCGAAAAAGAGTGACGGTTCATGTAAGGTATACATAGTGAATTCAGGAGATTCTTGTTCTTCTATCACTGCAAAATATTATCCTGTATCTATCAACGACATTTACAATGACAATAAACAAAACTTTTATCGGACAGGGTGTGATAAACTTTAAAAAGATTATAATCTATGTGTAAGTGATGTTAATCCACCAAAACCGACTGTAAACACTAAAGCAGATTGTAGACCACGATCGCCCAGCGGTGCAAATTGCCCGTTAAATGCCTTGCAGTGAATTTGAGCTTGTGGTCAAAGTAAAGAATTTTGTGACAAATAAACAAGTTTGACCGGTACTCCAGGTACTAGTGGGTGCTTGTCTAATTGTGGCTATGGATCATTACCTTCTCCTGGATCTTTTTTTTCTAAAATAACATATTGGTTAGATGAAAATAGTGAAATGGAAACAGATTCAACTCAATTGAAAAATGGTCCTTTCGATAAAGTCCATTATGCTTTTGTAAACATGAATTCAGACTTACTTGAAGATGATTCTTAAACATCTGAATCTTCATTTTTAGCAATCTCTGGAAAGAAAATAGTCAGTTTCGGAGGTTGGGATTTTAGCACTTCTCCAAGTACATATCCTATTTTTAGAAACGCTGTCCAACCAAATAATAGAGGAAAGTTTGAGTCTTATTTGGTTGGTTTTGTCAAAAATTATGGTTTAGACGGTATGTATTTAGATTGGGAGTATCCGGGGGTTCAAGATATACCTGGTATACCTGCAGATGATAAGAATAATGGTAAAAATTATTTAGGACTTATAAAATTAATAAAAAACAAATTACCTTCAGGTAAAACTTCATGTGTAGCTTTACCAGTTTCGTATTGATATTTAAAAGGTTTTCCCGTCAAAGAAATGCAAAGCCATGTGGATCATTTTTATTACATGACTTATGATATGCACGGGTCTTGGGATTATGGAAAAGCAACAACTTGGATTAATTATCATACTCATAAACAAGATATAACTGATGCTTTAAAGTTGTTCAACAAAGCAGTTGTTAGTTTTAACAAAATATACGGTGGATTAGCAAAAAATGGAAGATCTTTTAAATTAACAAACAAAAACTGTTATGGTACTGGATGTTTGTTCGCAGGACTTGGTAACTCTAGAAGCATGACTTACACTCCAAGAGTTTCATCCGATTCTGAAATTATAGATATAGATGCATTTTCTACCAAAAATACTAGATGGAACGATGATGTTTTCGTTTGGACTTTTATGAAATACGATGGTGATTTTGTAGTTTCATGGCCAACAGACAGAAATAGCACGGAAATTTATTCGAGAGGTAGTGGTTAAGCAGGGTCAGTTTTATGGATAAACAATTACTTTGAACATTCTGAATTCACAAATGATGATGATAATGACTACGATGACTATAAATTTAACAGTGAAGATATTGACTACATAGATATATACAATTATGTCAATGAAGCTGGAGATAACATTAACAATATTAAATCAGAAGGTTTGTTTGAAACAAATATAAAATATATTTTGAAAGAAGGTAAGAGCGCTGTTAGAAAAATAAACAATATTTTAAATGATTACGATAATTACATAGATTATTACAAAGAGTATACTAGAGCCAATTAAGATTCCGTTATGGAACAATATGAAAAATGTTTGTTTTTGGGAGTGGGAGAACGAATTTTTTTGAATACAATAAAAATGTGGTAACTACAAAACACAGAAAAAGAGACTTGGATTTAGACGACGAAGAAACAATTACTGAAACTATGGATTATTATAACACTTCCTCTCTCGTGTATATAACATCTGCAGATAATTCTGCTATTTTAATTACAAAAAATGGTTCATCTTTATATACAAGTCCTTACACTACAGACACCCAAATTGTCAAAAGAGGAGATTTAGGTCAAAATAGTCCTACTATGTATAGTAATCTTGTTAAACCAGATGACATAAAAGATGACGCTGTAAAAGATTTTTATGAGTATTCTAATATGAATTTTGCTAAAGAGACTTTTGTTCGAAGAGCTAATAGGAAAGATTTCACATTGAAAACATCTTATGGAGGTTACAATAAATATACATTTTATAAAACAACTATTCTTGATTCGCATGTTCTATTTACAAACGTTTTAAAAAGTGTTAACAAAAACAATATCACAAATATACAAAGTCTCATTGATTTTGGTCAACAAACTTTGGGACAAGAAAATCCAATAGACATATATGAGGTTTAAAAAAGTTAATTGATTTTCTCTGAAATTGCAGATATAGCTCAAGTCACTTATGATGAAGGTAAAAAGCAGAAAGCTGCTTACGATAAAGCTAAAAATTAATGATTATACAAATTGTGTTTAGTGTTATAGGAGTAGGAGCATTTTTTTGGACCTATAGGTTTTGCAGTTTCAGCTATGGCTGATATCACACAATTGATAGGAACATCTGTTATAAATGGCAAAGGAAACCCTGCAGATATGGTACTTTCGTAGGGAGGTTTTTTTTACCTGTATTTTCACAATTAGGAAAATCTGAGAAAATGGCCATAATGTTTGATGCGATTGAAGTAAATAAATTAAAAAATTATTCAAAATTGAATGAATATCCTATATAAAACAATGCAGAAAAACATCTCTAATGTATATTTTATTTGGCGGGTAAAACCATTTTTATTGTATTGTCTAAAGGCTGATCGAAAGATCCTTGAATTAAAGCTTTCTTCATCTGATCCCTCATTCCATTTATTCACAATACTCTTTACACTACCCAGTTGTGCAGTCGCCCCAGCTTTACATCAGCCTTTCTGTTCTCTCTTCAACAATTTGCCTTTTTCCAAAATATCATTCACGTGTTTGACTTTTCATTGTCCCTTCCTATGCGTCTCTTTGTGGGTCCTGGCAATTAGTAGGAGTTTTTACGCTGTATATTTCGGTTGCGG